CATTTAGATGTCTAGAAAATGAGATTATGAACACAACGACATATCCGTTTTCACTCTATATATAATAGAGATCGAGTAACATACATTTTCCGGAGACATGTCTTTTTAGCAATTTTGCTTTGCAATTTAGCACAAGATGTGCAAATTGTAATGTATTTTGGTAGCAGTGTACAGTAGAGGGTTGTGGCCATGGGCGATATTTTCGTTTGACTAACCCCTGTATTATGACATGTAATAAATAAATAAAAATAAAACTACTATAATTGGTATAAGCATGATGAATCGGACTATGTTGGCTTCACATTTCTAATAAAATAACCCAACTGTATTTACATCTTATCACTAGACTACCTCAGAAAATGCACTAACCCAGAAAATACACATATATACAACCCGTTATGTTGAAAATCTCATCTTGGTTTCCATAGAAATGTAACATGACTAAAAGTAAACACAATTTCGCTCACGATGCGGTACAAAGTAGTGATTGTAAGGGACGTCAAGGATTGCAAGAAATCGTCACTGAGATTATGTTCTTCAAACATATGCCACGGTAATCTCCGAGTCATTGTATCGTATAAGTTTTCCTCTCCATGAAAGAAATATGTAACTCATTAGTGGGGTTAGTTCCCAATGAATGTTGTTACATTTATATGATTTATTTTCGTGCACATCCAAATAAGATGATCAATCTATCAATCAATATCTGTCTGTTTATCTCCTGAAATCTGGCTTTGGGCCGAATTCCTAGACTCTTCATAAATGGTTACATGAATATTGCAGTCGACCCAGGGTCAGGAATTTGATGCATAGAAAACATAGAATTGGCAGAGCCGTATTAGCCCTCCAAGATGTGACTAAAAATGTCAAATCACTCATAGAAATATCTTTCTTACAGACCAAAAGTGGAAGGAAAATGTAGACCAATAAAAACATGTTTAATTCAATATTTTAACCAACTGAATTATTACCTTATGTCAGCTGACCAATTAGATGGTTCTACTAATATAAGTATATGAGTACCTGTATGAATCTATACAGGTAAAGTGGAATCACCACCACTCTGACACATACACCTTTCATGTTACTACAGGTGAATACACAAACAATGATATATACATGGACAATACTTAGACAACACATGGTGCTTGGTGAAAGGTTATACACTAACTCTTCAACCCTGCCACAAATATGATACAAAGTGATCATCCTCTGGGTCGTGATCAAGAATCCGTCCGACATCTAACTTTCGTCATACCGAGCTGCCACAAAATTATCAATGTGAAAGTTTGTCTGATCCTCGCCGTTATTGTCGTTGCTAACACCATCACCGGATGACCTAATGGTATGGACGGTCGCATCAACGTCCATAGTAAGTTCGGTCGGATTCGTATTCAGTTCATCACATTTTCTTAATGACGAAACAGAGATTCCAGTCAAGACATTCGTCACAATAATATACAATAATTGACCTATTTTCAGGTGAATACGTGGATTTATTAAACCGAGAAGGTGATATTTCCGGAGGCCGAGGGAAATATCTCCTTCGAGGGTTAATAAAACCTCGTATTCACCTGAAAATAGGTCAATAACTATTTTATTATATGACATTTTTATAAACTTAACCATGTGTAGCACCAATCCATACTTAGCATATTTCGCCATGATTATGGCACCTGCAATGAAATTCTGCCTTCACTACTAAAGAGATAACTACGTTGATATTTCTCATCGTCTTTCCTATTCATTTCCACAAAAAACTTCCGAAGAAACTTCCGGAGTTCGAGCGCCTGCAAGTCAACAAAGTCCGTGTCTATTGCTTTTTCTTACAAATATTCACGCAATACGCAAACAGGAGTCGGTAGCTTTAACAGTGTTTCTAGTATCCTTTTGCACCAAGACAGTTTTAAGTTGGTCATCAGAAACAGTTCCAAATCTTGACGTGCCGGGTTTGTTTACACTGTAGTCTGCCATTTTCTCTCCAGTGAGGCAACGACAATCCGTTCTTCTGATTGGTCAAAAATTGCAGCACAGGTTACTGGATTGTAATATTCACCTGTGAGGCGCCAGACGGGGTTTTGGACTGTTATATTCATCTCGCGTGCACGGATTCTGTAGGTTTCGGGGTAACATCGCAATATATTTAGACCTATAAGAGGTGTTTTGACCAATCAGCGTGTGGGAAAATGACATTTATATAATAACAGCTAATATATCTGACACATACGACATCAGAGCCGAGTCCAACTACAGCGATAACCTTCAGAGTGCCCTTTATTGGCTTTGCATTGGAACTCTTCAACTCGTTGCCCGTTTGTTCACAATTTTCCTTTGAGACAAATGAAATTTAACGTTTGTCATTGAACATATTTCAGAGTTTGTCAATGCATAAACATCATTTGCATCCTGATTCACCGCCCTCCGTGGCTTTATTGCCAGATCAGCCATTCTTTTTGTAGTGCCATCCAACCCATCGCATGTCCCTTTGACATGTCCGGCTTCAAAATCATTTCCACCTTGCTGAGATACCGATACTATCCTCATGGTTGGCGACCATGTTCAATATTGTTTTATTCCTGTGCTGGCTGGTTGGGCTGTCTGTCCAATAGTGGATTATCTTGACATCGGGGTCGATATCTTTCACGGTCTCGACGACATCTTTTACAAATGTAACAACGGTAGTTGCATTGTGTGAACGTTCGTCTGAGACCAGAACCAAACTTTGATGTCTTCTCCTTCAGTTTTTCTTGTGTAAACCACTGTAGGTTGATGTGTCACTGATGTCTGATTCCAGTACGCTAATCGAATTTCCTCTACAGATTTGCAGTTATAGTTCTCAGCGATGAATAACTGAAAGTTTGTCTTTGAGTAAACGAATTAGTTCAAACTGTGTTCTCATTCTTGACACGTGGTCACTGAAATCAGATGTCTGGCGTCAAAGATGACTTCGTCGGAAGCATTAACTTTGATAACCCGCATGACCATTTTCTTTACCGTTTTTCCTCTTCTGCAACACGCCACCATTCTTCGTATTTCATCTCTTGACTCGTCATCTCCTCGTCTGGTCTATCAATTGCTGGATCTTTTATGAACGTCTCCGGATTGACAGGGACAGTCGCATCAATATCCATGCGTCGAATCGCCTTCATGTGCAGAGGCAACTAATGTTGGAAATGAAGGACATTTGTAAAATGCACTATGGCCTTATCCTGCAAAATGATGCTAAGGACAACTTCACCGCAAGATTATCACTTTTACAGTGTAGAATTGATAGGTAATTAGTTTTAGAGTCCTCTTTGAATTGTACCTAACTTCAATTAATTGTAGCTATCTTAAATTATTTGGAGATGAGCACAATTCATTGATTATATGTTAATTTGGCGTTCCATACAACTTTGCAATAGTTTTACGAGGACACGTACAGTCGGTACTATGAATATCAATACACATTTATCTCACAGAATATAGACTCTTTATGGATAATATACATATTCAGTAGTTTTTAATTTATTTTATAACGTCAGTGAAGGCAAATTCGTCACATTAGTAAGGGTTTCAGTTAGTAATTCGACCAAATAAGCATGTATAAAAATGCCGACGTGCACCAGTACAGAAGAAGAGTTGACCAAAACGCCTATAAATAAACATTATTGTTAACACGCCTGAATGACGTCACGCATATGTGACGTCATCAGGCTTCCAGTGGTTTTGCTCTAATGTGCAGGCAGATTCGCCACCTTTACTTACACATTTAACGATTTTGCACGTAATGTAAGTGTTTATGTGTAGATTTCTGTATGTTGGTGTTATAAAAGTCGTACTGATGCGAACAGCTTCAAATTTGCATGCGTAAATATGATTAACATGGAATATTTAGCTTTTCTTTTTTGTTTTGGTCCACTTTCGGTAAATAAATGGTATTTTGTCAAACGATTTTTTTTTTATTAAACACAATCAAGCGACAATTTCTCACAATTTTAATCTTTCGATTCCTTTTTTATTATGATTTTTTGTGTAAAGTCTTATGTACATGTATAAGAAATTAATCTTCATTGCAAATCGGGCATATTTAGCGCTCATTCAAGTCGTAATCCCGTAACACGCGGAATAGGTCTTGACTACATCCAATACAAACTTCGCAAAAGAACACGAGGGTTGCTTCTTCCTCTTCCTCCTGTTTAAAATAATAATAGTAAGGAAACACAATTAAATTCCATCAAGTGATAGTACTATTTAAAGCATTTAACTGGTATACATCGTTGTTGTGTTCGTTTGGATGCGGTTGTGAGTTTTTGTGTCCGTTGCGATTAGTCTTGTTCGTCGGGAAATTTTGAGCATGTTGAAAAATGTGTGGCGAATAAAAGTTTCGTCTATCATTCGTTAAAATTCGTTTCAATACGTTAGCCAATCGGAAGGTCTCCGACTAGCGTTCGTCAACTGCTGTTAGAGGTCGTGATCAGCTAATTTGCATATCAAGGGATCGAGGACGATCCCATGACGAATCTTTGCGATAGTTTGCGAACTTGTAAGAAATGTAGCGAATAATTACGTATTGTAGCTAATTGAATCCGAAATTTCATGACGAATGAAAGCGAATTGTAACGATTGGTTGACGTTCAAAAACGAACGGCATACGCTTGCATACGAGTCATTACGAAGGATAACTACGACAAACGAATGCACGGGAATCATAACGCATCTAAATTTCTCTTGAGTATCTCAACAGTTTTGTGTAGTTCTTGAATTTCATATATAAAAGGAGGAGGCTAAATATCAAGATTATTATTTATTCCTTCGTCAAAATGAAAGTTATACAAAGCCTGAGGCTGCAGTATGTGGCTGCTATGGCCATCCAGGAAGTCTTCCAGCAACAATTTAACATCCACCAGTTCATCAGAGGCCGATTTAGGTGGTGAAGAGGAGCCAGAGCACGTCGCATCAGGAGAAGACCATGGCTGCATCGCGAGAGAGGGCGCCAATTTGGCATCTATGATCAGCTCATGGTGGAGCTCAGAAGAGAAGATCCTAGAAATTTCAAGAAATTCCTCTGCATGCTAACTGAAATGAATGATAAAATATTTGAGAGGGTCCGTCATCGCCTCTTGAAACAACACACCTGGTATAGGGACCCCTTGGATCCAGGCCTCAAAGTAGCTGCCACTCAACGCCACCTGGTTTCTGGTGCCAAGTACTCAGACATGCAGTACTCCTGGCGGGTCGCTGAGAATACGCTCTCTGTAGTGGTCAGAGAAGTATGTCATGCTATATGTGAGGAATATGTTGACGAGGCTATGACAGCCCCCTCCACACCTGAAGAATGGAAACAACTGGCTGATGGTTTCCTCAAGAAGTGGGACTTTCCTAATTGTGTTGCTACCATTGATGGTAAAGACATAGCCATCAGAAAGCCTGCCAGCTCTGGTTCTTTATATTATAATTATAAGGGTTTCTTCAGCATCATCTTACTGGCCATTGTCGACACGGACTACATGTTGATGAGGTTATGACAGCCCCCTCCACACCTGAAGAATGGAAACAACTCTCTGATGCCCTTCCACCACCCATCTATGTTATTAACTGAAAATTTACATAAAACAACATTGAGGATTCACAGTTTCATATAAAAGGTGTAAAGTATGCATAAATGTACATGACAACTTATGGCAATTTTAATTTCCAGTTAATTATAACTGGAATCAATAGAAAAAAGTGTTAGTTATTTTACCCGAAACTCCGGTTGTCTTCGAGATATCTTCTAGAATGTCCCTGTTATGGTGGTCCTCCTGCCGGAGATCCCAAAGGAATGGAGGTAATCGTCTTATAAAACTCAACAAGATACTTCCCTATCTGGGGGTCGTTCTTAATGGCCTTCTTGTAGTCTCGTCTCTCCCTATTTTGACCTGCAGACTTCTTGTTCTTCGTTGTTGCTGGACTGAAAGTAGAAAAAAAAGAAACATCAAGTACATGTACACACATGTAGACCCTTTAATATTTACAGCACCTACACTACATCAAGATATGTTAAATTATATTGTAATCAATGTTTCATGGTGAAAACAAGTCACGATTAACCAAATAGAAATACCTGCTTAATCAAAAATGAAATTTAAAAAATTATAGTACCTTTTCTGTGACGGGTCACCTTGTGGTAACTTTGATGATGTTTTCTGTGAACCCAGTGGTGATTCATCTTCGCAAGACTGTGAATCGGAAGATATCGCATGGGCCTGGGATGGAGGTACTTGGTCTTCATCAATGTCATAGTCTTTTCCCCCATGTTCAAAGTCAGGTTCGAGGCCATCAAACCTCTCAGAAGCTTGGGGGCTGGGGACATTGGGACCTCAGACTGTATATCACCGGCACTGAACATAGACATGTACAAAACAAATATCAATAACTGTCAACAAATAGTCGGGAACAATTTTACTGTGCATACACCAAGACAGTGACAAAAATTTACTGTAAATCCTTTTCCTTAAACATGACCTAGTAGGTTGTGAAAAACAGGAGTTTTATAACGTGACAAAAATAGCTGCCATTACTGGGCTACAAAATACTTGAACCTACACTTAAATTCTGACAACTAACCATGACAAATAAAGACCACAAAAGACTAGAACCTATACCTCAAAACACATAACACTGACATACAATACAAGATTTGGAAAATAGCTTTAAAAATTTGAAACTTATCCGGGAGAACTATTGGGTATTTTCTCCTCATGATCACCAGGCTGCTCATCAGACTGCACCTCTGGTTCCTCGGGTTTCTCTGGCTTTTTTTCCTCTTCCCCTTGGTATACTTTTGCACTTACAAAACTTCAAAAAAGTTAAAATCAAACAGCGATACGACGTGGTGTCGAGTCGGAGAAAGTTAGAAGGCAAATAACCCCACCTGGTTTTCGCCAGTCTGGTATAGCGTCCGGTAACGGCCGGATGCGGAAATACCCTTTAGGAAAGCTTCGGAAGTATGCGCAAAGTTGTGATTCGGTTTGCATGTTTGCGTTCCTAATCGCTAACGGAAAAGATTGTTTGCGCGACCCAACGCATTCTAGTGAATAACAGTAACCGTTCGTCACACTTCGTAAATCATTCGCAGAAAATAGTTCCCAGCGTTTACCTTTCGTTATATTTCAAATTATGTAACACATTTTCAAACAGTTTCGGTCAAAATTCGTCAGAATTGACAAATTTACCCAATTCGCCAGGCTGCGTTTAATGGATTCGCCTATGTGTGGGTTTTTAATGCCGATTTATTGTACTAGGTGGCGGATGTTTTACGTGTAGATCAGATGAATTTGATGCTACTCATTTGCTCTACGTCCTTTTCATGTTCCTTCAGACATGTACCAAATTTCTCAAAGTTTCACCTATATATGACTGCTGACAATTTTTGCATGGATTTTGATATACAACTCCTGTTTTGTCTAAAATGTCAGTCTTGTCTTTGGGGTGCACCAGTAACTGTCTGAGGGTTGTCAATGGTCTCATTGGGGTGCTGAACTGGTGTTTCCTCATAATCCGTGCAAACGCCTCAGATGTTCAAGGGACAATGTCAAGATAGTTCAAAGGGAACAACTCACAAACACTTTGAGTTCTATGAGTAAACGAATTTGTTCAAACTGTGTTCTCATTCTTGACACGTGGTCACTGAAATCAGAGGTGTGTCGTCGAAGATGACTAATGAATCGTCGTTGGAAGCATTAACTTGGACAACCCGCATGACCATTTCTTTTCCCCTTTTCCTCTACTGCAACACGCCACCATTCTTCGTATTTCATTTCTTTTTATGACTCATCATCTCGTCTATTCTATCAATTGCTGATTGTTTTATGAACGTCTCCGGATTGACATGGACATCAATATCTTTGCGTCGATTCGCCTTCAAGACAAGTGCCATGTTTTGGTGGTTTGTGCAGAGGCAGCTAAAGCGGGAAATGAAGGACGATTGGTAAAATTATGCTAAAGACAACTCCACCGCAAGATTCTCACTGAGGAATATACAGTGTAGATTTGAAAGGTAATCAGTTAAGAGTTCTCTTTTGTGATAGGTTCAATTCAATTGTACCTATCTTCAATTAATTGTAACTATCTTCAATTCAGTTGTACCTATCTCCAATTAATTATATATGGGCAGACTTCTTTCCGCAAACTCGTGTCAATGTTTACAAACAAACGCTAGCATTTAGACTACTGTGCGTTCGAGACACCAAATGATGTCGGGTTCGAGACAAGACAGGTCATGTTCATGACCGGTCATACAAATGAAGCAAGTGTCAGATGCTACAGTCGCGATTGTTCGTCGATACAAAAACGCTCCACCAGCTCCACTCTCTCATCGATGAGTGTCGGCACAGAAACGATGGCTATCGTTCCTAGAAATGTAGGTCAAATTTCTCGTCTCCCAAATGTTACATCAACAGTCACTCGGTCGACAAACGATTTATACACATCATACAGTGTACATGTCATCTGTACAAATCTCTGGTTTGCTTACAGACAGCAATTTCAATAACTGCACATTCAACTTCCACCAGGCCTAGGCTAGTCACTATCGCTCGACGACATGGTAGCACTCTCCATTTCCCGCCTTTTGGCGCATCACTTTAAAAAATGGACGTCCGCGGTCATTAGTATTTTCTACAAAGTATTTTGCCCCAGTACCTCAATTTCATACAAATATAAAATTATTTATTCCATTACCTACTAATACAATTATGAAGATATTGTATGAAGTTAAATATGGATATTTTATGTGAATAAAAATATTGAAATGGAGGAACTTTTTTCATTTGTTGTCACGGATAAAGTGGGCGGTGTTTAGCTGTCTGTCAACGACTTTTGCTAATGGCTGTTTCGCATGGATTAACATGACGTCAAAATAATTTTGAACGCAGATTACACAAGGTAAAATGCATGTATCCGCCTCTTTAAATCGTTTTATTGTTAAAAGAAAATATTGTAAATATAAAGATTAACCTTTTATTTTGTTTAGTTTATGAGATAATAAATCCAATGGAGCAGTCGGTAAATTGTTCGTTAACGCTTCGCGTTTACCCAATTTACATCGTGCTAATTAAAAATAGACCTCCAAACTGTTTATCTCATAAACAAAACAAAATAAAAGGTTGATCCTTAAGTAACTATCTCACAGAATATAGACTATACACATATTAAGTAGTTTTAAATTTATTATATATATATAAATTGATCGACATTTGTTTTTTTATAACGTACATGTCTCGATCCCTTGCGACATACGTCAAATGCGTATAATAAATATATACATAACTGATATGTCACAAATTATGTTTAAAAAAAATGGAATTGTTTTTAGCTCATATCAAAATAAAAAGAAAGTATACTCGTTTTGGGGGTTTTTTTTCACATGAAAATACTCGGTAGAGTGCGTCCGTGTATGTTCGTACACCTTTGGACAAGATGGCTAATCACATCGTTTCTATGCACCTTACCGTAAGAACCAAAGGACTTCTGAAAAGCTCTAATGTTCGGGTTAATTTTTACTCTCGGGCTTCATTCATCAGTTTATACTAAATGTATGTTTATATCATCTGAAGTATAAAAGTTGGAGGCGGGTAACTAGTCCGTACAGAACCGTGTAAGTTCGTACACCTTTTCCGGTAAGTTCGTACACCACATAAGCATGGCTATATCTGTTATATCAGACGATATAACCTCGTTATATTGACAGGAGACGTACATTGAAAGCAAGCCAAGAAAATCGTTGTTGTTAATTTCTCGAATAAGCGTAAGAAAGGTTATAGACTAGTCTCCAAGTAGATTTCTTATCTGAGGCTGTGCCCATTAGTCGAAGTGTGTTTACCCTGTGACATGTAGTGTACAATATTTTTGTACGTGTAGTTGTCCGACTAAACAAAATCTTAATGTTTATGGAAGTTCCACACACTTTCGGGAACAGATGTAAAGCTATAGCTTGATTTTAAGACTGGTTCTTCTCCTTTAATTTAAGGTCATGTATGCTCAAATCCACCAAATACCGCCGATGTTACAGCACTTAGAAATTTAAAAAAAAAATGTATTTTTGCCATGGACGAGTTCATTAAGTGTATTAGAACTTTTTCTCAGTCACTTATTATAGGTTGCGGGTCCCTTTAGAGAGTTGGGAGTAGTTTTAAAATACATATATAACCAGTAATGTTTCAGAAAGTGTTGAAACTACAATCGTATCTTGACTGCATAGCATAGTAGACAACCTCCAGTTGTACAACCGAGAGGTCCCGGGATCGAATCCAGGCGGGGGCAGAGATGGGGGGTTTCGTGATGAAGGGAATGTAAATAAATATATTAGTAAATGGGAACGCAACTCCAAAAAAACAAAAACAAAAGTAAGAACTCTTCTTCGCAGGAGGTTAAACATCGAGCGGTGGGACTCTATATACCTTAAGCCAAAAAAACTCATATACAAATTATGTTACTTGATGGTCTCTATACATGGAGAGATTACTTAAAGTCGTAAAACAAGTCTGAAGTGGACTACATAGTACTTTAGCTAACTCGTGGTTAACACAAAATCAGATGAAACAATACAGAGATTGAACTTTAAACTTTACTTTTCACAAGTATGTTATCGTATCGTTTTCATCAATTTGAGATATTCGACCACTTTCACTCAATACAATTCAAAGTCTACATTTCTGACTGTAATTCAGAATATAACCAATAATAGACTGTTATGTGGGCAGTGGTTGACCGACACTATTGACTATACTTATGTTAGTATTACTGGCACATGTGGCAAACAAATCTGTCTTCTCTGTTGAGAACATCGGTGACATGGTTTATGGTCGTAATTGGTTGACATTCTTGGTGATATGGTTTCAGGCAATCTGTACATTCCAGCACCAGGGATGTTGGGCAATTAGTCAACTCCGTTGTTTTGTTGCAGACGGGGCAGATTTTGGAATGTTTCTTAGCTTTCTTAAGTTTACAGCGATATATTGTTTTGTCTTGCAGCAACAATAATGCCAAGTGTTTCGTGTGACGAATGCGAGTCTAAGAGGATTAGCGGTGGTCGCTCAGGGCCACAATGACAGAGAAAGTGCTCTTTAAACCATAATTCCCCCAACGCGTCTTCCATCAATGATCGTTCTTGGTAGGTGTTCCTAACTCCGCCTTTGGTGTTGTACGCGAACAAACTTTTGTACGTTTTCCCCTTGACGATTTCCATTGGGGTATCTCCTCACCTGCAGCGTTGATACAGGTCAAGACGCTTACGTTGTCCCTGCTGTTTCCAACTCGCCCAGGAAGGTTTTTGACCCCAGTCTCTGCTATTACCTTAGCAAGTTTGTGTGTTAGAGGCACACTCGTCTCGTCCATATTTCAAATCTTTTTGGGCTGATCTTTGAGATCCAGAGAGGTGAGTGTCTCGTCCAATGAACGGAAATACTACGCCGTTACGACTGGATTCAGTATCCTTGCTCGGACCGTGGATAGGGCTGTAGGGCTCCGGATGCTGAGATCTGAGTGACGTTTTAGAAAGCCAGCAAGCCATTCTTTCACAGGAACACCTTTAGTAAATGGTGTCTTGATGTTCATCTTCTTCACGAGTCGTGCGACCCTAACAGCTAACATCCTGCGAGTTAACCCAAATCCCTTAATGGCTGTATTTTTATTTTTCTTACTAGCTCTTCTTCAACTTCGAGCGGGAGTACTGTCGGGCGTCCTTTAAGGCAAATGTCGTCTATTCTGTTTTTCATTCTATCTTGTATTGTCATGACTGGGATGCCATATTTTACAGCCGCCTTTCTAAGGGAGAGCTGTTTGTTCCTTACACTTTCTACCGCTGCTAATAAGCTTTCATTTGAATACTGAGAGTATCGTGATGTTTTCTTACGTTTCGGTTTTCGGCATTGGTTGTTTTCACCATATTTTAGAAAGACAAAAGAAACCAAAAATATATCAAATCTATGTTATTTTATTCTAGTATTTGATAGATTAGTATAAATATACTATATATACTACTAAAAATAAAACATGTACATGTTATATTGTTAGAGAAAAACAAAAGTTGAAATACTTCTATACTCTGAGACTAGTGATTAGCTTTACTTTAGGTCTCTGGTCTGACATAGGAAATCAATTAATTTCAATAAGACCAATTCATGTTTATCTCTAAAAGAGTGTAGAATCCATAATATAACTTTAGATAATGCGACGACACTACTTGCATCTCATTAAAGAGAATGGGTGAAAGTCTTGAGTTTAAATATTCCCGCCACTTTGAAAAGTTGTGGTTGTTTCGGTCAAGGTCGAATACCATGAAACCGGAAGTCAAAAAGTTATGCCACGTTGAGCAAGGGAAACGTGGATGATTTACTTGTGGAATCTGTTACGTGGTAAGTTCCATTCCCCCATGAAGATATGATTGATATATAAATCTACCTAATGGTAATGATCTTCAGTACAAGGATAGAAGAATATTACTACGACGCCTGAACGAACCGTGCAAAAACCGGCATTATCTCCGAATCAACTATGTATTCCATCATGGCCGACAAATGTCAAAATTGTGAATAGCCGACGATTTTGTTAGCGATTAGAAGCACGCGGACGCATAATTTGCGATAAATTTTCATTGAGGTAATAAGATTTGTGTTTGCTTATATGATGACCATACTGATTTATTACGATTGTCACTGTGTGGTCAAAATCATAGCAATATTTTGTGCTGTATAGAGGGAGGGGGGAGGAAATTTGCCGGTAATATCAAGACTAGACACTAAAATGTCTGAGTGACTCGACGCTAGATAATATTACGATCTATAATTATCATTTTGTCAAATTATGTCTCCATCGTTCGTGATACCAGTACCATGATCAATATCAGTATGAATTAAAAAGTCATAATATGTATTGATTGACCAGTACATGATGATGCTAAACTAAATACATTAAAACTCTTGAGATGTGATGGATTGCTACTAGTTATGTGGTCAGCCATGAGCAAAATATTGCCTGCAGGCTTTATTCTATTGGATGTTCCCATCCCCTAAGTTTATCTCTGTTACCAATACCAAGACACCATATGTTTACATGAGACAAACTCAGAAGTGAGGGGAATTGTCCAATGTTTATCTAACTCGAGTTATTCAGTTTTCTAACAGTATAAAGGATTACTGTTAAAGGTCTTAAGTTCGGAATTTTACTTACAGTTTCAATGATATGCTGCACATGGTAATTTACCAATTTACCATATCATGGCTTGCATGTTAAGACAGATATGTTCACAACAAAAAGAAACATCTTGAACATTGTAGGAAGGTTCCTTATTAAGTTAACGAGCTGCTGTAAAATTCATACTCATCGACAAATATGCCTGTTTACTTGGTTGTGAAACTAATACATCTGTAGGACTATGAGTTAATGACCAATGCCACAAGATAGCATTTGTATAACTGAAAGGTGTTAAGATGCCAACTGCATTTGGCAGTTAGATTTTATGGCTCATCTTGAGGGTAATGCCATTGAAATTTCATAAACCAATCTGAAGTTCTATAAGCTGTTTGCTGTCATGTATGTATCATGCACTTGTGTTATCAAGTTGGTAAGACAAATCCTGCAGTTATTAATTTCCATTTTTTGTTACAATAAATAAAAATAATGGATATGTAAGTAGAAATTTAACATACAAAATTTGTTGAATAAATTATTACTTAGAATTCTGACATCTTCATCCTAAGAGTCTATATATATATATGCCATCATATTGTTCCCATATCTTTTTTGCAGTTGATTAGTTTTCCTTTCAATTAGTTGACTGCTAAAGCCATGCTGTTTGATTTACTCTCATTAATCAGCTACTATCAGTTGTGTTGGTACCATATGCATACTTGGTTATTTTTGGAAAATAAGGCATTTTTTGCTATGGGAAACAATCTGTATTCGGCAGGAAAAGAGATAAAAAAATCTGTGATACTGGAGATAGTGTTGGACGGTTGACATGCCTCCAAATGTTTTAATACTGGCATAAGTTATATATTACCCCATATTCCATATTGTACAAGGTACAATGTATGCATGGTGTCCTCAGTCTTTCTACCTAGAGTTTTGGTTTATACCTTTGCAAAGATTGTTGAACATATGATGTGATGTAATTTGACATCATTGATAATTTCCTATATCTGTAATAATGTTGACTTTAAAGGTATACAAAATCCAAGAATCCCACATTGAGGAAACATTGATTCAAGATGAGAGTGAAAGAGATTGAGCGGACGGCCAATGTAGCCTGGTCGCCTGCTGCACAGCATCCGATCTACATGGTGGCTGGAACCGCAGCACAACAGCTTGATGCCACATTTAGGTATGATTTTTTTTCATACTACCTTTACTTATTACCCTGATATGCTCATTTTGATGAAATTTGAATGGAGATGGATTTATATAAGTTGAAAAACTTTCCAAATCATATTTCAACAGTTGTTTTGCTATATAACAAATTGTAAATGAAAAGAGAAATCCAATAAAATTAAATTAAACTTGATATTGTCATTCAGATATTTTTATTGGATTCCTATAAATAAATCTTTTTGTTTTATACACAGAAGGGTTGGAAGTTTATAGCTTGTAACCTTACAAACCTTTTAATGTACACGTCTGAATATCCCCCTCTTGATTTGTTTACAAACAACTTTTCCCTATCTAATCACATATACAATGTAATAGGCAATATCTGGAAAAAAGTCTCTTACTTAATGCATGTCACTCATTCTGTGTGTTAATATTAATATTTTAAGAATGAAGTATTTTATTTATTCATTCAGTCTGCAAGTTTTAAGTAGATTTATTATACAACTGCAAAACTTTTCAAAAAAGTGACTGATCCCTGACAGACAATAGTTGTTAATAATTTGATGAATGTCTATCTTAAATGTTTACAGCACATCGGCAGCTTTAGAGGTATATAGTCTTAATTTGGGAGATCCAACTCTCAATATGCCACTGGTTTCTACTGTCCCATCAGACTGCAGGTAATCTGTTTAATGTGTAAAATATATCTTATACTGATCAATTACAAGTAATATTATTACTAACAAGCTTTTGTAAAAAATAATTTATTCCATTAAAATATACATGTTTGTACTATTATTAGGGTTTAACAACTCTTAATCATTGTAATTAGCAAAATAATATTAAATATATGTCTGAAAAAAACATACCGTAAATTTATGCAAAGAAAAATTGCCATCTACCTATCCACCAACGCTAATTTTGTTTGCTATGTTTTAAACCCTACACAATTTTTTTCCTTGTAATATTCTTGCATTTAATTTGGGCAAAATTATTGATGAATCTGGCCACAATCTTCCTACAGGCTGTATATTAAAAAGTTTATTTGTTTCTATAATGTAGTATTTTTTGTCAGATAATCCTTTATGACAAACACTTAAAACTTAAGTTTGAATTTCTACTGTATCACTCTGCTGTATACAGAATTCAGCTAGCAACTCAACTTGATAGAGATTCCAGTTGTTCGCATAAACAGTGCCATTCATTGCAAATGATAGATGACCTTCTACTGTGCAGTCTTTTCTTAAAACAGACTGAAATCAGCTTCCTGTTTTGAAAAAAGTTGACAACTTTAAAACCTGGTATATATGTTTCCACTGAATGAAATTCAACATTGTAAGAGAAAGTATGTGTATATATCCATTATCAGTATTGTATGAACTATTTCAGATTTCACAAGCTGGTGTGGGGCTCCCACGGGATGTCTCCAGAGAATGGTGAGGCCGGGTTTATTGTTGGCGGGACGGACAATGGAGGTGTGTACTGCTACAGTGCCACTAAGATGATCAGAGGGGATACAGATTGTCTTCAATTCAAACAGGATAAACACACTGGTGCTGTCAAGGCTCTCGACTTCAATCCATTTCAGGTACACTGGTTTCGATTTTATCGGATACTCATGATTTTTCATTCTCATTTTCAAAGTCGCTACCCTTGTTGTACCTTTATAATTGAAAGAAATATTATGACATCCTTTCCTGTTGGAAAATGTTTCATTTTCAACAGGTTTTATTAAGCCGCTCCTGGCGAGAGCCGGGCGGCTTATTAATTCTATCCAGAGAACGAAATGATGGACCCACTTCCGTTCGGGGTGCGTGCGCATAATTCAGTTGTGCATGCTTCCGCTATATAGTTTCGTTATCGTAAATAGAAAGAAGAATCTTTTTGACACTCACCTGTGGGTTACATAAAGTCTTCTGATACTCTTCTCCAAATAATAATCCATACTTTAAATAATTGCTGAAAACAAAATGTTTATCTCGGGTGCATTCTACGAGTGTTGTGGTGGTGAAATTCGTGCACTCGGGTTTGAGTGTTTTAGCAACTCGGATTGAGGTATGAGGAGGTTTACGCGTGTGAAACACATATGATTCAAGAAAGCACATGTGAAGACTGTCAAACATTGACACTGTCTGTAGAAGGAAGAAGTAACTATATATGCTTATAAACCGTATGACTGATGAAGTATAACCTTTATTTTGATGTTTCAAATGGGGACATAATATGACATATCGTGCTTAGGTTGATAACAGTAATGGCTCTGAGACGAGACAATATGTTAACTGTGTATGCTTATCAAACATTTCTGTAACACAGCATGCTTTTTCTGGTGTATTTATTTATGAAAATGTAACAATTTAAGAACATGACACAACTGCCGCTGCTGTTTGACAATAATTCGCGCCGTGTGAAAATATTATCCAATCCGGTGTAAGGGAAATAACTCTTACGTTGGTAAAGTCGCATTGAGAAATATACTTATAATATATTCCAAGAACATTTGTGAGATTTTGTATATTATATGACAGTAAATAAAGTCACTACATATATTAATAATTATTATTAATATGAATAAAAAATAAATAAAAATAAAAGGAGTACAACAATGTCTCTTTTCTCCATCCATGTTTTCCCACTACTGTTAATTATCCTTCATTTCACAAGCACAAAATGAACCTATTCTTTATTATCCATTCACCGATTGCCATTGTGCAAGTAAATGCTCATGTCACATCATCGGAGGATGCTAATTAATGAAAATTACAACAATGCGTCACACTTAAAGAGAGTGAAAAAAAGAGGAGAGGGAGAAATGTTTTTAAGGCATCATTTAAGAGGTGATTGATTTGGGAAATTCCAAAGGCAACATCATTACATGACCTGATTTTCAATTTGCAGAATACAGAACACATATCTAAGGTATTATAGTAGATACTGATGCTCAACGTGTTACTGAAGCAATTAAATTTAAAGTGGTGAGCAGCTTTAATGTCACACTGACATAATTCTATTTTTTAATTTTTAAAGGGGTTGAGGTAATATGTGGTGAACTTAGTAAAATAATTATTCATCTATAAAATCCTTTCCCCGTCCTTATATGACCCTGATTGTTACGAGAACCTTAAAAATAAACAAACAATCCCCTAATAGACACCTTTAGCATCAAAAGCAGTAAAGCAGGGTAATTATAAAGTGGCCATTATAATGGTTTGACATACAATGTATTCTAGAGGTCCCTTTATTTGGCCAGGGAGGAGGAGACAAATGCACCTCTTTTCTTGACCTAAAATTGTACATGGATTTGAATTCCCTTGTTAAATTCCTTCAGCCTCAAATTGCTTTGTTAAAAATGATCTTTTTGATGAAATTGATGGATGTTGTGTCTAACTTGGAAGTTACAAGCTTGTTAATGACTTAAGTATTGATTATGTTTACAGTCAAACTTGTTGGCAACAGGTGCCTCTGACTCTGAGATACACATCTGGGACTTGAACAAACCTGACAGTCCAATGACACCTGGTGCTAAGTCACAGGTAGGTATTCATTTCATTAATATCTTACTGATTGATTTTTTGACATGTATCATAGCTAGGTAACATGTACACTGAATTACTAACAGGCTGTGTGCATGCATTTGAAGGATAACTCGCTGAATCTGTACTTAATGCATGGCACTGATCTATTTACCAGGCTTATAGAAACCTCTTTTTTTTCTTTGCAAATTATTGGTCACCTCTAGGATACAAACATGCAGTGGGAGAGTGCAGGCCTATTCTCTTTGCTTGTATCTATATAAGTATGCACAAATGGCCGAATTGTAAAAATAAAGGGAAAATATTAGAACTGTCATCAGATAAATGACATGGTATGGTGTCCTACCTGCATTTTTAATTGTTGACAATTTTTTATGTGAAAAATAGATTCCAAGTATCTGATTACAAGCAATCAAACTATGCTTTTGCTTTCTTGTTAGTCCTCATCTCAGCATTGTTCAATATTGCTACTTTGCAAAAAGAACTCTTCAAGTATATTATGGGTTACAAAATTGATGTTTTTATTTATGTTTTTGATAGTCAACTTTAATCTGCTGCAATTTCTTATGAGAGATAATGATTACATCTGCATGTTAGCATTTATCGAACATTTTGAACAAGTATTAAGATTGAAAAGTGGAAGAATGTCATTTGGATTTGAGTTAATTATTGGTATACATAAAACTTGTGTAACCGCCACAAGTAGTATTCCAACACTGGCTTATTTTCGTTTCACATTCTAGATGACTTAATGTAATGATACTTGAACATGTAAAAGCGAAAGCAGTTTACTTGGAAGTTTTTACTAATAAAACAAGATAGTTTCGTAATTCTCTGATTAAAGGTTACAAAAATGAAAATTTCAATGCTCATCATATGATTATATGATTCCGTAAAAGAGGAATCTACAATACCTGAGCACCTGGTTTACAGACTTTTGCATTACGTCTTGATCGTTTATTATAATAATATTGGTTATCATATTTCTCTCTGGCAAATAGAATATCATAATAAGCGGGTTCCACTGTAGTATTATGTATAACAATGTATTTGTGCAATACTTACGAAATTATATTGCTCATCCTGAAACAAAGATGTCACACATGTTCAAAGCAAAAGGAGAGTAGTACTTAACACTGTTGAAAAATATGCGCGGAAGGAAAGATTATCTATGAGTCCTGTATTGGACTTTGCCAAGAATAGAATTCTTATTTAACGCTTTTTATTAACAATTTGTGAAGTAAGAAAACTTCTAAATCTGGTATCGAAATGTGCCAATGATGACATGCCTGAATGTGAGTGTTGTATTTCCTCTTTGGTAGGCTAATGAGTTAGATTTGACGGTGAGTAGCTTCGGCCACCTGTGCATGGTTGTGGATGATTTCACCCTGGGTTGACATTGCAGCTAGTCTAATTGTTTCCCCTACCCCAAGGCAGGGGCATGTCGGGATTTGTGCATTTTTTGGTCTTTTATATGATGACTTATTATAACATAAATAACTTTAACAGGGATATTGTAAGATATCAGTGGTGTGTGTTTTGATCATACATGTGTTAAAACATTAACATTTTATATTTACTTTTAATAAATGTACAGGTGAATCATAATTAGCACATAATGAAGAACTCTTGTAAAGTGCACTTTTTCTGTAAACCAATAAAATAAATAGAATACCTGGTAAATTCTATCAGTTTAATTAAGAATTATATTAACTGATAAAAAAAAACTATAGACTAATTTGTATTTCATAACATGAAATCTTACCGGGTAATTATAATAATAACATTTAAACCTTTATTCAAATATACTACATACACAGAAGCCATGTGACTTCATATTGTATTGATTGACTAATAATAACACTACAGCTGGTGGACCTCTTTTCTAACATTGAAACCAAGTTTTTATTGTGACGAAGTGTTCTTATGCACAATGGCACTCAGCTTTTTTCCAGGTGTTTCGCAAGCAGTTATTGATTTCAGTTTATTATGTTCATGCAAAATATGTTAAAGTCCACTTTCATAATGATTATTATTATTGTATATATTATGCGACAAATTTTATTATTTGACTTTTTAAAATTTAATCAAATGTTTTAAATTACATGGTGTGCATATGATAGATACCTATGGTAATGTAATTATTATTGATTATAAGATTATATATATGTATATATTTATGATAATAAATTTGATGAAAGACAAAAAACAAAGTTTTAAATTCAAAACCTGCCTCTATATTACTAATGTTCAGATATTGTACTGCAGCAGCTGTAGTGCTAGCTCTATGTATAATCCAGATTTTACAGATCAGAGAACGGAACCGAATGTGTATGAGCTACAGGTGCCTCTAAAATGATAAAATATGTACAGTGTACACTCAAGTACAGGTATTATTGAATACATATTTGATAGCACACTCTGTTATTTTTATGTTAATGTCGAAAAAGATAATTGTTATAGTGTTGAATTCATGGTTTTAAGATTGTTAGATTTCATTCATATACATTTTTATTATCTTGTTTAAATTCACAAGTTGATAAAACCAAAAGAAATCCTGAAAATGAATTGGGTGATTTTTTTTTTTTATGCAATATTATAAAATAAAAGAATCAAATACGTACTTCCAAGAAAAAGAAACCAGACCGGTAAATCACTTTAAGATTTTCTAGCAATTCAAGTTTTCTTAGCTAAGAGATGACAATTTTGTCGTATTTGAAATAGAAAGAAAACAGCACATTGATGGTGATAGTAGATGGTGTATGTGGTGGCAGATACAGGGCACATGGGATATCGGAGCTAGTAATACATAGAAACAGTATCAAATCAAGACACACTGACCCATAAAACTTCAATATTCACTGAACTTCGGTCAATATTAAAATATCCTTCAGTGAAGATAAATTGAAAAGATAGTGCTGGATGATCATAAATATGTTTATAACAAATGCACAGTATTATTTATTAAAGTGAAAAATAACGGTGTTTGTATTAAGATAAAAGACAAGTTCTAATTTGGAAAGGAAGTCACATATAGATGGTTAAAAAAATCTTTTGAAACTAAGCTTTTAATGTTACTTAATAATGTATTTATATTGCAATATATACTTATTTCAGCATCAACTTTTGCAGAAGGTCAATTGCAGTTTAAGATATTGCACTAATATTTACCTTGGAAAATATTTAAAAGGAAAATGTAGCACTGCAGTCATTCTATTTTTGTAGATTCAGATCTTGTGAATATATATATATGTCATTGGAAAGAAAATAATCTTGAATTATGTATTCGCAAAAAAAAAGAAGGAACAAAGATTTACAGTGTGTCCTTGTAACGTATCTGATTTAAATGCTAAAGTGGCAACAGTGAAATTTTTATTTTTTAACAAATATTCGTGTTGGCAATCCAAGCTTGCAGTCACATCAAAAAGTACAATGTGTTGTTGTAGAATCAATTTAATTTATCATAAGACATTTAAATTTGTGAAAAGGTGTGTAAATTAGTAAATTACCCATTTATAAAGGAGTTTATATTTAATTATTAATAAATAATGTGATCTGACTTTGTGTGTTTGTTACAGCCACCAGAAGAGGTAGCATGTGTGGCATGGAATCAACAAGTCCAGCATATTTTGGCCTCCACATTCACCGCCCGCTGTGTTGTCTGGGACCTCCGCAAAAATGAACCCATCATTAAGATTAGTGAGAGCATGTCACGGGTAAGTTAGAGGGTTCCTTAGAATTTTAGATCAAATTAATTGAACAGAAATTATTTTTGATTTGATCTAGAATCTTCATGACCTTTTCATAATACAGTTTTGTAAAGGTTTGCTGATGAAATCACTTTCTGACTTGGAAAGATAACATTTCGCACCTTAAGACTTAAGATCTAAACCCTCGTGTAGAACTCCTAACTGCTACATAATAAAGAAGCTATAATATATGTTTGTAATAGAAACTTCATGTTAATAAGTTTAGCTTTTCTGTTAATCTTGTAACTGTAAGTTCAATTTATGTAACAGTGTGTCACCATCCTTTGTTATTGCAGATGAAGAGTAAGTCTGTAGCTTGGCACCCAGAGGTTGCAACTCAACTGTGCCTGTCTTCTGAAGATGACCATACACCAATTATACAACTCTGGGACCTCCGCTACGCTACATCTCCACTCAAAGCCTTTGAGAACCACAAACGGTAAGTACTCAAACCTGGTTATGCAGTCATGACAAATCCAATGCGCAAAACTCTCCTCTCAATGAAAGTAAGTCTTGGACCCCATAAGTTATCCTTTTACATCTAATTTCCTATAAGGTACATAAAAATGTTGAATGTTGAATTTGAAGAAAGAAATCCCAAGATTGATTGATATGAGGATATACCGGTATTTATGTCATTCACAACATCATGATAAGTAAACAATTAAAAAAGATTGAGTGATAGCTATAGATTTGAGACAATCAGGGTTTTTGTCCTCTTCACTTCATTTATAATTAATGTTACTGTTACTTTAAATTGTTAACTTAAAATGTTTCAGAGGTGTGTTAGATATTGCGTGGTGTGCCCAAGATTCTGACTTGCTACTGAGCTGTGGGAAAGATAACAGAATTCTATGTTGGAACCCTAATAGTAACAAACCTGATGGAGAGGTTTGTACACTTGACAGTGTTTATTACTTTATCTGCATCAGAAGTTGTATGTCCAGAATAGAGTTTGTCTGAAGTTCAGTATATGCACTACATACTTTTCACACGAAAATAATATGAGTGTGCAATATAAAAAATTGATGTATGGTTTTGTTCTAGTTAGAAAGAAATGTGTGTAATTTATATACCTGTACTGGAAAAGGTGAAACCATTACAAAATTTTGAAAATTTGAAAGGTACATTGTACTGGTTTTCAAATATTCCATTTGGAAGGTTTATATATTACTTACCATAATCGTGAAAATGTTACTTAAACAGTTTAAAAAGAATATCAAATTTTATTTTCAAAGTTTTAGTTTCATTAAACACAGATTCATTTAAACTCTCTTTATATGCTAGTGAAAGAAAATTAGTTAAATTTATTGATATATCCTCAATAAATATGGTAAATGAAGACAGGAAATTTGATTCATGTTACCATCCTCTTTCCGTTCACCCTCATCCAGAAAGGAAAACAATACACTGTTATCTGTGTTAATATAGGTTGTTTATGAGCTGCCGACAAGTACTCAGTGGAGTTTTGATGTCCAGTGGTGTCCCAGAAATCCAGCTATCATTTCTAGCTCATCCTTTGATGGTCATGTGACAATGTACACTTTAATGGGTGGAGGTCATCCGGTACAGCAATCCAATAAGGTCAGTAGACTTATTTAAAAATTATTTTATTTCCTACTGAAGTATTTGTTCAATTTCAGCACTAATGTCAATTGGTTAAGTATTATGAAATATTTGCCCAATGTTCCCGTTTTCTGATGCTGTAGGTAGCTGAATCTTTCAATACCAATGACCCGTTCGCTCAGGGGGCTGTCAGTCAGGCCATGCAGCAGGCTGATGTGGTGCCACTACAAAAAGCACCAAAGTGGCTCCGGCGACCGTGTGGGGCCTCCTTTGCTGTAAGTATAAATATTGATATGTTTGGAAAGAACATCTTTTAAAATGCATAAAAAAATACAATAAAAACAGACGTTAGTGGCTGTTGTGTGTCTGATAAAAAAAAGATTATAACATTTTAGTGTGACACTCACCACAAAACAAAATATTTTCACTTTATTTTAATATAATTTCTTAAAGAGAGGTTTACATGTATTTTTATATTAAATCATTAAAGCTACATTCAAGAATTATCAAATCCTGAACATATTAATTTGTTTCCAATCATTGAATGTTAGATTTTATACCGATATGTTTTTCGCACAGTTTGGCGGCAAATTAGTATCATTTGACGGATCAAAGGCACAGCCTTCATCACAACAGCCAGCGCCACCTAGGGAGGTTTTCATTAGCCAGGTTGTCACGGAAACTGATCTGATCACATGCTCATCCCAGCTGGAGCAGGCGCTGATAAACGGACAGTATGTGGAGTTCTGTGCTATGAAGGCAGCCAACTGTCAAGACACAATGCAAGAGAGTATTTGGAACTTTTTGAGGGTTTGTATTAGAATTTTCACTTCACCGTTAGCTGATGTACTTTTCAAAAAGGTCTCACAGCTATAAGTCTTTAAACAGCGAAATATATGTAATGTATTCTCAATGATTTTACCACCCATTTGAGTAAGGGGTATATATATATAGTAATTGCTTTGTCAATACAAGCATCCATCCATCGTGAACATTTAGTATACAAAATATATCATATTTTATCTATATTTACATCATATTATTGTTTCATCAAATTCTAAACTTCATAAGATTTCAGTGATTATTCAGTAATGCTAAAGGGTCAAAGGTCACTCTGGACAACTTTGAATTAGAGGTTTTATGTAAAAGATGTCATACAAACCCCTTAACAAATTTTGTAGATATTTACACCATATTATGGAAACATTGACACTGGATTAGATTTGATGATTATTGGTCAATGTTAAAAAATCAAAGGTCATACTTGACCACTTTTAAAGTAAACAGCTTGTGAAAAAATATTGTACTACCTTTGTAACAAATTTAGTTGGTATCTAAATACTGTTGTATGATGGTGTCAAGATTTAATCCTTGTTAGATTTGGAGGTCGGAGTCAAGGTTAAAGGGTCAAGTGGTGTCACATGTCAAGGTTAAAGGGTCAGGGGTCACACTTGACAAATTGGGGAGGATCTTTGTGATACCATGTTTATTTTGTTTTCAAATAATTTTATATTTCTTCATCCAGTCCGATAATATACAAGCATTTTTTGTTCACAATTTCAGGTGAATTTTGAAAAGGAACCAAGAGAACACTACATACAGTTGCTGGGATACGACAAAACAGATCTGGCTAAAAAGGTAGAAAATCTCAGGGGGAAAATATGATCCTGTATTCCTTCAGTTTTTAGGGCTGAACAATGTTTTGAATAGCTTTATGATAAAAAAAAATCATCATTTGGGTACTGGAATTTTCTACCTTATCTAACTTTTAAAAGAATTATGTTCAGTCCTTTCATTTTTGATTTCATCCTTTAATTAAAAGAAGATTCAAAAACGTTTTCTTTTCATATTTTGCTGAACAAACCATGAATTTGTTACAGTGAGGAATATGTTGAAATTCCATTTCCAGTGAAGTAGTATAATAAAAATAATAAAAAATATTGATCAAAAATGTCATTAATTTAATTTTGATAAAGAAATGAGCTAGAGCCAATGCTGGACATGGCTTAAATTACTAATGTGAGTGAGTGGAGTGCTGACTTGACAGGTGATCAAAAAATTGAAATTTTCATGTGTGGAAATTTTCACATTTAAAACCTTTTCAAAAGGTATGTACATGTAATACATATCTTTTTGTTGGAAATATGCTAACATTTCACATATTGAATTTTCAAACTACAAATTAAAATGAACTTTTAATATCAATTTCTTTGTGTAAGTAATGCTGCTGCCAGATGATATATTGCATGTACATAATTATTTGCTTATATTACACAACAAAAATTGCCCCATAAGCAGTTTGCAGGAAGATTTACTTAAACTGGATACAATAAAATGAAGATGTCAGTTTTAATACAACATAAATCTTACTTTGTAAACAAATAGTGGATGTCTTTTTCTTTCTGCAAGTTCTGGGCTTAATCATGACCTTTCTGGGAGTTTTAATCTCTTATTTCTTTGTTAGGTTGCACAGCATGCATCAGGAGACGATTCAAGTGTTGGTCAAGGTGTTGACGCCTCTGAGCTTGCACAGAAAATGTCTCTCCTGGACACAGTGGTAAGTTATTTATTCGTGTCAACATCACCATTGTTGTGTATCTCTGTCTAATCCTTATTCTCAGCTGCTTTCTGTATTTACATGAATTTGTAAAATCTTAACTATAATGTACTTGAAGCAACCACAAGGATTTAAATACATAAGAAATAAACCCCAACAAATATTGTATTAAATAGATTCTTTGTTTTGTCGTGTTTTAAAAAAAATTCAACCATCTTCAAAGAAAATAATTATGTCTTTTTTGTTGTGGATATGTCATTGCAGGAATATAACAGATATAAATGAAAAATCTCCATCTTTACTGTAAATTATTTCAGGACCTACAGAGAGGCTTGTCAGGTTCTGGGCAGGCTTCTCCAAGCGTTGGCTCCAAGGTGAGGTCACTTATGACACAACCATCTTTTTACAATATCTACATATGTATGGTAGCTAGTTGCTATGTTGTAGTAATAGCAGTGTAATAGTTTTGTAAACAGATACCAGGAAGTACAATTTCTGAATTCTGACAACTGTCATTTAGTTATGCCCCTGCGATAAAAGGAGGAGGGGGGGGGGGTCGTATAGTGTTGCCCATGTCCGTCCCGTCCCTTCAAACATCAAAATCAAACACTGAAACTAATTTCACAAGGTGACAGGGGCATTCATGTCTTACAGACATTTTCTAGTTTTCTTTATCAAATGGACCAAAACTTTTCAAAATATTTCTTCCTAAATATTAATCTTGAAATGTTGTGAACTTCGAAATCAATTTTGAAGATGCGTAATAGAAATATATAACATTTTGAAATATTCAGCAAGAAACGGACTGCTCAAATCTGTTTACAAATAAAAGTCTTCGGATTTATAAAGCTTGATAGTGTGTATTTATGCAATGCTGGGCATATTTGAACAAAATTGTACAACCATGTTTTGTATTCTGGATGTGTTTTGTGTGTTGATTTAATCCACAGTACCTTTAACATTACATAGCATGTGTTTATCACATTGGGACACATATACTACAAATAAAAAAAAGGTTGACACAAAATTTGAGTTTAAGTCTGACAGATTTGTGAAAAAGATTTGATGACTTTGTTTTGAAGATAATATTTAAGAAGTCACAAATTTCTGATTTTGGAAAGCCTCAACTTTATCTCTACAAAATTCAAGCCATTTTTGAAATGTCATGCAGTATGGTATATTTCAAAACTGTTTAGAAAGTTAATTAAGACTATCCATTCAAAATTACTTTCTGATTTAATGTGTGTGTCGCAATGTTCATGTGGACACTGGTACCTGTGATGACATAACAGCTTTCATAGCATGTAGTGTTAAATATTGTGCATAACCCATTGTGTTTATCTTTGTGAAATATTTAAAAGCCTGCTGTGTCACGTTAATATATTTAATCATCTTTGTAGTAACTTATATTTGCATGATTGATAAACACAAGAAAAAACAAACACACTTTATAAGAGAAAAATCAGTCTACAATTTTGTCAGGAAATATCATTGTATAGTTGATGACCTAGTTTTATTGTAAATAGTTAATTTCCATTTAAATTTTTGTTCACCTGTTTCTGTGATACAGACACCTGTTAGTCGAGATGAGTTCAACTCGTCAGCATCTTCTGTATTTGATGACATAGCTGCACAGAATAAGAAGGTGGGTCAGACCACTTGGTTCTGGTACTCCTGTTCTATTGGGGTCTCATTGCTCTCTTAGAATTCCCTCTTTCACTAAAGCCATTCTTAAAAGTTGGTATTCTGTGATTTGACCGATGCTGTATACTCTGCAGTGTTAAATTTAAAGAACTTGCCATAGTTTATTGATTTCTGTCAGCAATTTCACAAGGTGACATAGATATTCAGCAGTTCTATTTCAGCAGTTCTATTACTTCATGATATGGTGGATTATGGTCAGAGTAGGAAGAAAGTTCTAAGACGAAATTTCTCTTTAAATCAAAGATTCTTCTCTTTTTTTTTTTTACTTTTCACCACCCACCAGGGGGGGGGGGGGGGCACCAAACAATGTTACCTCCTAAACAGTCAGTGGATTTGGTAATTGTTGTCTCCACAAAACTGTCCCAGTTATCCAGCCATCACAAAAATGGAGAGAAATGATAAGGTGCTATGCAACAAATAGCTTATAAGAACAGTTATAAAACAAATCCTTTATTTAGCACATATAATATATTATCACATAATGTACTGTGTTATCCAGTGAAAATACCCATGTCATATTTTTTTGTGTATTAATCCCTCTAATATGACCTATCAGCCCTGTGATTGGCTGTAAGTTTCAATTGTTTCAAATGTGACGTCATGCCTAGGACAAGTACATGACGTCGCAGACTTCCACATGAACACTGTAGTCAAAATCGCGGCTTTTTACATTTTGAGGTTGCATGAAAATTGTCCAGTTTCACAAATAAATGACACAAATCTTGATTATTTGTTAAAAAGAATTTTACACTCGTTTTCATTTCATATGAAATTTATGAAACTTGTCAAGAATTTTTAGGTCACCTGAGACAAAGTCTCAATTTTACACTCGTTTTCATTTCATATGAAATTTATGAAACTTGTCAAGAATTTTTAGGTCACCTGAGACAAAGTCCCAAGTGACCTATTGCAATCGCCTTTTGTCCGTCGTGCGTCCGTAAACAATTTACATTTTCCACTTCTTCTCCAAAACCCCTGAACCAATTTCAATGAAACTTTGCAGAAACCTTCCATGGCCAAAGGTCAACAAAAATAGTTGCCGGTTTGGTCCCCGGCCCCCAGGGGCCTGAGGGGCGGGGCCAAAAAGGGTCAAATTGACTAAAATTTCAAAAATCTTCTTCTCAAGACCCAGATATGGTAGAATCAAATACTCTTCAAAGATGGCAGGGTCTTAAGGTGCTTTTCCAGAATTGTGAATTTCTTGACCCTGGGGTCTCACGTTTCCCCCTGTGGAGGGGGTAAACTTTACTATAGTTTATATTCGGAAATCAGGTAGCAGCTTGATAATAAGCACATACCAGCAAAATTTATTATGGTTATAATGGCAAATGATACTTTGAATATTACATGTTAATAACTTGAGATTGGAATTATAACCCTGAGTTGACAGTTTGATACTTTGAAAATTTTGAGCCAGCCATAGCCCCAAGGGCTGTAGGGTGGGGCCCAAAGGAGTCAGTGTGCTAAAATTTCTTCATTTTCCTTGTTTAGAATCAGAGGTGCTAGTCTCAAATACTTTTTAGTCTTAAATCTGTATGCTAGATATTGAATAAGGTGGTTTTATTGTTTTTTGTCATTGAATAATATTTCTGTTCGTGTTAAAAACAAAATCAACTCTCTGTATAAATATATCAGGTGACCGTTAAGTTAAGGCCCATGGGCCTCTTGTTCATGTTAGCTCTTCAGAGGCTCGCTAAATTAAAAAAAATCTTAGACTTGTTTCATAAATCTCATATGAAATGGAAACTCATGTTAGATCCTATATGTAACATCTTGGAAATCTTTCCATCTTGTCCAATATTGTGAATGAAATAGTAGTCTTGCATGGATACGGGTGTGTGATGAAGGTGGTGGAATCCCTAATTTTACTGTGGAACATTTATGTGTATTTAATCCTGCTTGTTGCATGCCTGCATTTTACTTTAAAAGGATTCAAATTTAACTTGTTGTAACATTTACTTTTAGATAGTGCTTCAGAAAAGATTTATTTTGTTGATAAGAAAGGAGTCCTGTTGTATTTTCTTCACCGTCAGTCAGATTTTGGTTGTTGTTCCATATTGTATAGGATCAAAAAGTAAAAAAACGTTTTGTAAAAAGCAAATCTAGCATTATGGTTGAAATATAACTTTAAAAAATTGCCATCATACAAGCAAATACAAAAAAAAAGTGTGATTTTTGACTTGAACCTCAAACAAATTTCTAACTCAAGTGACATATTCATATTTCAATTGTAAACAATATTCTTCAGTAAGAAAATATACATTATACATACGCAGGAAATGTTGATGGCAGTTGAAACAGATTTGTTATTCAGTAATTATGATTTGATAAATGAAGCTAGCATACAAGTGTATAGTGTATATGCATTCAATTGGTCAGAACTTTCACACAAAAAGTTGATTATGGTAATATTGTTCTTGCACACTGATTGATGTTTAAGTAGAGCTCATTTTTCTAATTAAACAATTGAAATATTCAATATTTATACAAGATTAAAGGTTCAACATTTTCCTATAGCCATTCCACATTTGTGGGTTTGCTTTTATCAGACTCCTGGAAGTGGGGATGAGTTATCTGCCTTTGATGATATAGCTGCTCACCAGAAGGAAAAGGAACGACCCCAGTCACCTCTTAATATACCTTCAGATGGAGGTAATGTCTTGCACCATCAAATATTATTTCTTACATTGTATGACAGGCTTAAATCATTATGTCCCAAAAAGCAATTTGATTGTGAGGAAACTTCTCATTTTAGTACTTTTATTGTTCTGATAGTGATTAACATCATTTTAAGATTTCAATTGATGAATTTTCTGACCAAAAATATCAGCTTGGTCAAAATATCATTACATCCATTTAAACATGTTTTGTCTTTCTGTAAAAAAAAGTTGAAAGTTGAATTTTTGCTTGTTGATTTTTATGGCTAGTTTCAGTCAAGTTTAGTCAATATGTTTGATCATTAAATTACACATGAGTAAAATCTTGTTTACCTGTGAATCAATCATCTGACACCTTTTTTTTCTGCCGTACATTGTTAAAGAAAATGTTAGATCTTTAAACAATGTCACTTGTTTGAATAAAAATGTGTCTATTTATTTTAATTTATTTCATTGTTAATTTGTTTGATTTAAGATGCTGATGGTCTGCTGAGCCAGGCATTATTGATGGGGAACTTTGAAGCGGCGGTGGACATCTGTCTGAGTGAGGACAAGATGGCTGAGGCAGTCCTCCTAGCTATTGCTGGCGGTCCAGACCTCCTTAGCCGTACTCAGAAAACGTACTTCAAGAAAAACAAGAGCAGTCTAGGCAGAGTATGTATTCACATTGAATTTAGTCTTCAGTGAACATTATCTTAATAAACCTGGCTGATGTTGTGTCTTAACACACAGAAAGTACCCTTTTTGCTTAAAACACAAACATTTTGTCTTGTCAGGAAAGTGGTGTATTAAACAATACATTATTTCTCATAATGATAGGTATTTCTAGCATTGTATTTGAATCATGAAGTATGATTGTGATACCATATTCTACGGTGGATACAAACAATCGGATGATCTCAATCTTTAATATGATATTGGTACACATACTTTTGAATTGATACAACAGATAATACAGAAATTAATTATTACATTTGACATTGAGATAATAAAGAAATTATATTGTCATGGTTACAGTTAATATCATCAGTGGTGACTCACAACTGGTCACACATCATACAGACGTGTAACCTAGACAACTGGAAAGAGGCTTTGGCTCTCATACTAACTTACGCATCACAGGACGAATTTGTTTCTCTATGTGGTGAGTTTTAATTTTTCAATATAAATAGTTGTTAAAAAAGTTATGTTTTATGGTGATGAAAGTTTTTGTATTACCTGTGGTAAATATAAACTCTACAAATTGGGAAAATCTGTTGAGTTTGGTTAAAAGAATATTTTACACTTTGATAACATATATAGTATTAGACAAAAATTTAAGCATCTCAATATTGCAGCCGTCCTAAAACTGAGCACATTTCAAAAGAAACATAAAAGTCGAATTGGTACAAATTCTAATTTGACCTCAGATAATATGGAGAAACATCCTTGGTATAATTCTTGAATTAGCCCTAGTAATAATGAAATGTAACAAAAAATATGGTATATCTTTAGAAAAATTCAACTCTGAATACTATATATATAGAAACCTTCACAGTGAAAGACCATTCTAATATTTTGTAATCATTTGACAGACACTCTTGCAACTCGCCTGGAGTCAGAGCGGGCTGGTAACCTATCAATGTACGCTAGTCTGTGTTATATCTGCTCCGGTAACGTGGACAAACTGGTGGAGAACTGGAACTACAACACAAAAGCTAACAATACTCCAATGGGTCTTCAGGTGAGTTACAGGTTATGGTCAGGGAGTTAAAGGTTATAGTCAGGACCTTTTGTATAATGTGAACTTGAACAAAAAGTGATGATCATTTGTTTTAAAGAGTGTTCAAGAATTTCAGCTTTTACAAATATACACTTTAAAATCTGGGTTGACGCATCCAGTATTTCAGGATGTGCATTTTTTGTTTACAATTAATCTGTGAATACCAAATTTTAATCAGGATAAAACAACATATTTGGGGAAATTAAGTTTACACTTTTACACCCATAAGTATATGCATTTTAAGGTCACTTGAGACAAAGTCTCAAGTGACCTATTGCGATCGCCTTTCGTCCGTCGTCTGTCCGTAAACAATTTACATTTTCGACTTCTTCTCCAAAACACCTGAACCAATTTCAATGAAATTTTGCAGGGACCTTCCATGGACAAAGGTCAACAAAAAGAGTTGCCGGTTAGGCCTACGCCCCCAGGGGCCTGAGGGGCGGGGCCAAAAGGGGTCAAATTGACTAAAATTTCAAAAATCTTCTTCTCCAAAACCCCTGAACCAATTGCAATGAAATTTTGCAGGGACCTTCCATGGACAAAGGTCAACAAAAATAGTTGCCGGTTTAGTCCTACGCCCCCAGGGGCCTGAGGGGCGGGGCCAAAAAGGGTCGAATTGACTAAAATTTCAAAAATCTTCTTCTCAAGACCCAGATATGGTAGAATCAAATACTCTTCATAGATGGAAGGGTCTTAAGGTGCTTTACTGAAATTGTGAATTTCTTGACCCTGGGGTCTCACGTTTCCCCCTGGGGAGGGGGTAAACTTTACTATAGTTTATATAGGGAAATCACATTTTGGACCAACATTTGTTTAATTTCCATTGGAAGTAATTCAATTTGGGTTAGCATTATCAGTATTAGGTAGCAGTTTGATAGTATGCACCTATGAGCCCTGACTGACCCCCAGGGGCTGATGGGTGGGGCCAAAAAGGGTTGAATTGACTGAAATTTCAAAAATCTTCTTCTCAAGACCCAGATATGGTAGAATCAAATACTCTTCATAGATGGAAGGGTCTTAAGGTGCTTTACCGAAATTGTGAATTTCTTGACCCTGGGGTCTCACGTTTCCCCCTGGGGAGGGGGTAAACTTTACTATAGTTTATATAGGGAAATCACATTTTGGACCAACATTTGTTTAATTTCCATTGGTAATAATTCAATTTGGGTTAGCATTATCAGTATAAGGTAGCAGCTTGATAATAAGCACATACCAGCAAAATTTATTATTGTTTATAATGGCAAATGATACTTTGAATATTACATGTTAATAACTTGATTGGAATTATAACCTTGAGTTGACAGTTTGATACTTTGAAAATTTTGAGCCAGCCCTACCCCCAAGGGCTGTAGGGTGGGGCTCAAGGGAGTCAGTGTGCTAAAATTTCTTCATTTTCCTTGTTTAATATCAGAGGTGCTAGTTTCAAATCCTTTTTAGTCTGAAATCTGTATGCTTGATATTGAATAAGGTGGTTTTATTGTTTTTTGTCACTTTGAATAATATTTCTGTTCATGTTAAAAGCGAAATCAACTCTCTGTATAAATATATCAGGTGACCGTTAAGGCCCATGGGCCTCTTGTTATTAAATGATTTTGTATGTAGTGTATCACTCAATAATTCAGGTTTGAGCTAGATCAAAGGTGAAATTCCAAATTGTATTTACATTTCCACAGGACTTGGTAGAGAAGGTGATGGTTCTTAGAAAGGCTGTGTCTTTATCACGTGGTCAAGAACAGGAAGTGACCAAAGGTCTCCTGGCTAATAAACTGAATGGCTATGCCAGTCTGCTAGCTGCACAGGGAAGCATGGAGACAGCAATGAGATACCTCGGCAACTCATCAGAGGTTAGTTAGGTGTAAGAAGAGGAAATTCTAACAGATCATGCATTGAAGAAAGAAACGGTGTTTTATTTAATTATAAAAAAAATGTCCTAACCTAAGAAAAACAGTGTTTTAACTGATACTCACGTTTTCAAGGTGTTGTGAGTTTGAAAATATGGCCTGATTTCATATTTTCAGATTTAGATTTGTTGTGCATGAAATGTCCTTTTAAGTGATCTGAAATATTAAATTCCAATGACTCATTCATTTTGGAATCATCGTGTTAGGAAAGACTACATATATTTATTTTGATTATCTCAAATTTCAGGCTAATTTGTCCATTTTGAAGGACCGTTTGTTCCATGCACTGGAACAAAGCAACTATGGTGTCCAAGCCCCACCCTTTCCATTCAACAAGGTCAATCTGATACCACAGGGTGAGACCCCTGTACAGAGCCCCACCCACAGAACAGCACCTGCTGCCCACTCGCTGAGCTCTCGTATGTACCAGACACATGCCGGAGCAACTTTCAACACAAGTACAACAGGCAGCAAAAGCTATGCAGCCCCTAACCAGTACCCAACAACTACCCCCTACAGCACCATGAATGGTCAAGCTTCCACGAATCCTGGACAGGGTCAAGGTCAGAGCTATGGAGGACAGATTTACAACCCTAACTCAATGCCGTCATCAACAGCATCAAATGCCGCATCTGGGGCCAGTGCACCGTCTAAAGGTGCTTATCATTTGTATTGGCATATATCTCCGATAGGGTTTCTGAATGTTACTTACTGTGAACGAATATTTTTATTTTCATGTTTGTTCATCTTGTGACTCATTCACAAGGATATCGATTTGTGAATTTAACGACATAAATTGAAAGAAAACTCAATGTATGTGGTCAAGTCCTATATTCATACAATATGATAATTTCAATGACTTTTACCAAGACCTGATCTTATATGAAGAGAATTACTCGAGCATCAATCAAAACCATATCAGTCTTATTACTGTTGTGTCACAAGTATCAGATGGCATTATGACGGTATCAATAGTATCTCCATTATGTCACAAATATACGTTTGGCTTATCAAAAGTATTGGAAGGTAGTATGAGGATCATCATATCACAAGTATTGGATAGTATCACCATTGTATTGCATGGTATCACAATTGTATTACATTTAATATGTAGTTTTCTATCTAATTTTATAGTTGGAGCCTGATAGCCTTCTGGCCCTGGGATCATAAAACAATCTTAGACTGAAGTTTTTGCTTCGCCAATCACGTAAGACGTCACAATTCATGGCGTTATTTGTGATTGGCTGAGTCAAAATGTTAGACTATTTTATACTAAAGATCGTTTCATGAACTTGGGGCCTGATGATGAATATTAGGTGATTCTTTTTTTTTTCCATTACTCTATCAATTTCTTAATGCTTATTCCAGGTCCCCTGTCCCATAAGTATCCCCAGTATCCTCAGGCGATGCCTAGCTACGATCAAGCTCAACAGTACGGCCCTGGTAGCTATGGTCAACAGCAGTATCAACCAGGTTACACTGGCCAGTCTATGTCATCACATACCCCTTACTATGGGTAAGTATGTAACTGTTAGCCAGACCCATTTGGCCATGAGTTCTACAGAGTACGATAGTATATGGTGATTGAGCAAGTTTAACTCCCAGTTTTGAGGGACAGATTGTGTCAGAACTCTAAACAGTACTACAACTATCTGAGGAAACTGGTGAAGTGTTTTTCCTCAGATAGTTGTAGTACTGTTTAAAGTGTCTAAAATGTATATATTGCATGAAATGTTTCTATAAGTGTAACCATGTGTAATAGGTTTCAAGATAGAAGGTTTAGGTTTTATTTTGTTCCACATCCTATTAACAGCTCAGGTCATTTAAGGACGTTCAATATAGAAAGGTCAAAGTCAAGATGCTCTTTGCTCTATTTAAAACAGTTAAAAATTCCCCTACTTTTAAAGTTTATATGAAAGTGGGATTGAAACACAATAAATATGTTTAAGCCTGACTGAAATTTCATGGATTAAAAATACTTTTGTTTTTGCTATATTCTCAGTCTTAACATAATCTTTAAATTGTGAACCCCACAAACTACTTACATAAAATAATAATAGACACAGTAAGGGGTGAGGTGTATGATAAAAATGCGGCAAATTTAGTCTAGTTGTTATGCCAGGAAATTTCAGTGCAGATCACCAGCAATACTATATCATGCCCTGATATTTTACAGAGACTCAGCGGCAAACCCAGCTGGCTCACAGATGGGATCCAACCAGGCTTCTAACATCTACAACCCAACCAACACCATGACAAGTAGGTACCCAGTGATGGTCCAGTCTGTCACTGCTGTAGGCCTACTAGTCAATGTAAAGTACTGATTCGCTCTAAGTAGCACCTGTAGTAGGAAAAGATGTGCATATGACTTCAAGCTTAGATTCCAGGTATACTTATCAAGGTACTGATTTACATATGACTTCACACTTAAACTCCAGGTATATACGTCCAGGTACAGAGTCACAGACAACTGTGGTTCATCAGTATTGTGCTTTTCAGACATTGTAAAGAGAAACTCTCCACATAAACAGATGATACCTCTTTTAGGATCGTTCCATTAAAAATAATCATCCCATGAATGGTGTTTTAGTATTTTTAACGGAGTAGCTATCAAAAAAAAACGTAAAAAATTTGTAATTAGTTTTGCCTTCTGCAGGTAGGGGATATTTTTTACTAGGATTACTAAAGTATAAGATACCGTACCAGTCCTGCCCATTTATTAACCACCTGCCATATGTTGTTCATGTCTTATGAATTATGTAAAAATGAAATGATGATGTGACTGAACAGTTATTGCATCATCAACAGGTGTGCCCCCCCAGCATGCAGCAGCCAGTAGTACCCTACCCTCCCAGTCCTCCTTTATGGACCACAAGCCTGCCACTGCCTGGAACGACCCGCCACTGGTAAAGGACAGGAAACCAAAGGTAATGGTTCCGCTCATGGTCAGTCTTATATTGCATGTCAGCAATTATATAGGTTCTTTATAGTTTTCTCCCTTGATGTGTTTACCATTTGATAGGATCGTAATTAGCAAAACCTTGTCATAATTTATCCAGAAAATGTTGACTTTATACAGGGGTTTTGACAATACATTGAGGGAGGTGCATAAAGGACTTACTTGGAAAAAAAGGCAAAGGGAACTATCAAATTCTTTTGTAATAAATGAAATCGCAAATGAAATGAGGCATCTCAGAGCATTTACATAGTATGATTATAACCCACACATCAGGAAGCCAGCAGTAAGATTTTGTCCCATCTGTTTTGTAATACTCCATGTGATCACTCATATGGCCATATTTCTTAACTGATTTTGATTAAACAACACGGGTTTATTTTGACATACCTTGTATAAATTCAAGTTTGAGTATAGGCATGATAGGTCAGAGGTCATGGGGTGACCTAACAAAAACTAGAGTTTCACAGGACCTTGGATCCACCAGGGGCATTGGGGGTAATTAAGCCTTGCTTACTAAGTTCATTATCTGGGTCATGTAATTTTTATGCAATAAATCAAGACACTATGTCCCCTTGCTTTATTTGTCACCTCCCATGGACTGTTTTTTTTCAATATATCATATTCCTTGACATAATTTATTTTGCAGCAGTCTGAAAGTCACAGTCAGGCACCATTTACCTCTCCTCTGTACGGCATGGCGACCGAGTCTAGTAACCAGCAAGCCATGCCTGCAGACCAGGGACCCCCAGGGGCTCCCGTGAATTACTCAAACTTATACAACCCACAGGAGCACCAAAGAGAGGTTCAGGTAAGATCAAAAGTTAACACAAAACTGTGGGCAGGTCATAAAACCAATGTGAATTTCAGATCAGGTAAAAGGTCCATTTTATCTGGATAAGATGGATAAAAACACCAAGAAGAAGTTCATATAAGGTTGAAGGTAAATTCATGCCTGCATCATACACCAGTTCAATGTAATATTTTGCCTTTTTGAACAATTTTCATATGAAGATAAAATCTGAATTTCTATCTCCATCTGTTCATATGTATACTGATTGTATTGTACGTTGAAATTATCATTTTTAGGCTCCTCCTTCAAATGCAAGTGTCCCAGAACCAGTGCAGCCAGTAGCTAAACAACCAATACCCTCAGAACACCAAGTGCTACAGGACATATTTGGTTCTCTAGTCAATAATTGTTCTTCTGTTGCCTCCAATGCCGTGAGTATCAAACAAAAAAAACACAAAACTCTTTTAGCATTGTTCAAGGTCCTTTACAAAGTATATTGTCTTTATTTTGTAGTCTGTATAATCATTATGATAATATTTTCAATAATTCAGTAATCTGAAATCACAGATTTTTTTCTTCGATTTAGAATTTGCGAATTTATTATTTGAATTGTTGTAATCAAAATTGTGAAGTATTGTTGTTTTCTTTTTCAATAGCAAATGAAGAGGAAGCTAGACGATGTTAGCAAAAAATTAGAAATACTTTACGACAGATTGCGTAATGAAATGGTAAGCTCACCTTAACTTCTTTATAATAACATAGTTAGATTATTGGATAAGTGGTCCTGTAGTCAAAGTTAAGTTCCAACAATAGTGGAAATATAAAATGTAGACTAACTACTACATGACATATTGTATTAAACCTTTGGTATTTGTTTGAATAAAGTTTTTTCAAGCTATCTTTTGCCATTTGTTTATTAAGGTATTTAGATAGATGATTATATAGAAGATATCTTTGATTAACTTCACAAGTCTTTGTATAATGGATCATTGTAAATCATATTTGTCTATGGATATTCAGATGTCTAGACATCAACTGTTGAGTATTACACTATACCAATGTTGTCCAATTTTGAATCTATAAGGGAGATAATTCTATTGCAGCTGTCCCAGAACGTGTTGCTAGGACTACACCAGATCGTCCAGGCGATACAACAATATGATTACAACACCGGGATACAAGTGTACACACAGATGGTCAGTCAGGGCAACTTCTCTGAAATCAGTAGCTTTATGCCGGGACTCAAAATGTTACTCCAGTCTGCCATGCAGATGCAAGTGTACGTTCAGACCCAATGATGATAACCCTTCATAGATTTTGAAAAATTAGACATGAAGAATAGAGAATGAAAACGGACATTATAGTAATCAAGACTCTAGGATACGTGTGATATTAAGATATCATTATTTACTGCAAAATAATTTTTAATCATGGCATGCTGAAATTCTATTAAGAAAATTTGTAGCGATTAAAATCTTTAACAATCTACACATTATATCCATTTTTCCATCATTGAATTAAGAATATGGTTTTGGTCATCAGTTTCAATGAGAGCTTTGTTTTCTCAAAACTTAAAAAAGTATCTGAAATATAGTAATAATATTCTACATTACTTGTGTAATATTTCAAACTTTTCATCACAAGAAGCTTGAGTAAAAGTACATTCTAGTTAAAATAAGTTTTTTAGCATGAAATCAAGGTTTTACTATACCTATCTGATGCAGTGTGTATACGCTCCCTATTGATAGGCGAAACGTCCCGGGTCAAGTGACAAAAAATATACAATTTCGTCACATCTTTGTACAGGTAAAAAATACAAATCGCTCACTCAGTCATAGCTTGACAAAGGGACCTGACCAGTCGGTCTTGAAACGTTACGACACGTTTAATATGTAAATTGTTTGTGTAGAAAGTAAAACTTTGATAACATGTATTTCCAACCTGATGAATCTTATTGATCAGGTTTTTTAGCATATTTTGTTTAAAAAGCATAAAATTGAAGTTCAATTTTGTAATGGTTCGAAATTAACTTTTGCTGCAAAGTTTGAAACTGTTTCTTTTTGGAATATGCCCAGAACGTCAGCTATTGGTAGAGGAAAGCTATAATTACAGAAAGTATTCAGCTTGTACATTTGAATTTTTATCACCATTTTTCATTAATTAACATACATATATATATAGGACGAAGATGTGCATTCATTTGTAAACTCAAGACTTTATTTCACAGCCGCAATTATGTGTATCTTGACAATTTAGATTATTAAAGCAATTAGGAACATAATTTTCAATACTTTTTCTTTCACATTTCTTAAGGCAGGTATAAGATAATTTTGCAGGAAATAGATCATATGAGTTTGTAACAATCGAATTCGGGATTCTGAAAAATAAAGGAAATCTTGAATTATTTGAAGTGACTTCAATTTTTGATTTAATCGCTATGTATGATGATGATGCTTTTTGTTGTCTTATTTTACTTGATTCTTTTTTGAAAAAGATATTAGATAAATAAAAAAAGGCAGGGACTCAGAATTCTGCTGTGAAAAAACCTTTCAGTAAGTTATTTATTGAATTGTGCCATAACCCAGTTTAATGTCAGGGTTTAGTATTTTTGGTTAAGCGTTGTACAGAATTTACCATTCTTTTGCAGTTTTTGTTTTTTATTCACTGCCATCACTCTAGACTGATTTGTGGATTCCAACAAGTACATGTTGTGTATATCAGGTGATTGGAGCAACTGCCTGTGTATCACTTACCATACACCTATAGTTAATTAGTCTGTGTTTCATAAAACATTCATGACTTAACATGAAAACAATTAGAAGTTTTGTCAATCATATAAAATGTTAATGTCTTAGTTGTTTTAAGAATTTCTCTTTTTTTCATAAAAGTAAAACAATTTACTGACATCTATTCACAACATTTTATTCTAGCATTGATTCAGTACACATCAACATATCATATCATGCTCTGTTTGACAAATATAAGTGATTTTTCAGGAGAATTTACTGTGTTCAGTATTTTATTATGCAGACATTTTGGAATTGGGTTACACATATTTTGCTGAAGGTTTGAATAATGCTAATCCAGTGTATGACAAGTTCATCGTTTTCTCTGTTTTGCCAAATTCAGATATTTGTGAACATTTCTTACTGTGATGTAATGCTTGGGATAATGACATGCATATAGGCGATGAAATGGAAAAAAATCAAGATCCTTTTTATGATATTGTGTTGGATATACAAAATTGCTTCATTTTATAAGGTGCTTTCAGTACATGTATCGCATTTCCAGAGTAAAAAAGCCATGTACAGGTTATATAAATCTTCCGAAGACGTAGTAGTTGAGACATGGCATTTACAACACTGTTTATGCAACGCTAGCTATCCTCTTTGTTACCAAGATTTAACAGATTGTGTTTCATATTAAATGGATCCGAAGTATGGATTAGTGAAACTTCCTGAATATATTGCAGGAAAAGGGGGAGGGGGATGATAGGCTGGTGCCATTGAAATCACTTACTTGGACATTTTTAGAAGTATTTTTTTCCCCCCTATTTTTGACGAGCTGTAAAAAGTATTTTTACAGAAATGACAAATTAATGTAGCTTGTAGTTACATTGTTACAACCAAGGTTTAGTTTACTGTAATATATATCTATAGCAGATATGGTCTTTGTAGCAGATGAATTTTTACCATATTAATAGAATTTCATAATACAGGTACAGTGTAACAATTGTATTATTTTCTTTTTATTTGGAAACCATCAATGAAATGGGTCTTAAGTAGCATGATATGCTTTTTATCTGCTAAAGAAGCTTTATTCTACATGCTCTTGTCATGTTTTGTGGGGGTTCCCTTGAAATGTGATCATGTAGCTATGTCATGATGTGAAATATATATTCAAAGTACAAGACACTGAACTACAGTTTATTACAAGTTGAAGGCTAGCTGTTTTTACGAGTCGCATTTCAAGCAAAAAATGGTCATGAATGGCAGGTAATGTTGATATTTAAATGTACTGTATGCATAATACGTGAAAGAAAAGCTAGGCGAGATGAAATTGAAGCGAAAGTATATTCGGTCAATGATTTGTGTAATAAGATGGATATACCACAGTATTCTGTATACGATTGTACATAGTAAGTTATGTTTAACTGAGTGTAAATATGCTCTGTGCTTTATTAGGTAGGACAATGGCTGTTACATAAAGAATGTTTCTAATGAGAATATGTGTTTGTTAATATTGTCCATTGGGGGACTGCCTTTATGAGGTTGGAACATTGTATTGTGTCCAATGGCCAATATAATGGTTTGTCATCTAAATATTGGGAGATTGGATTTATTTTTATTTTGACTTCTAATTGGGTTTGAAAATCTTTATAGATATTTTCTCCTTTCATATTTTGTTTCATTCTTTTTGGGAGGGGGGGGGGGGGGGGGGTTGGATCATATCTGTCAACATTGATCTAACCACATGAAGGCTAGCATCCTCAGATAAATGTGTTGTGTGAGAAAACATCTTTTAATGTACATTGTATATTGATGTAGTACCCAGCGGTACATAAATTACATGTGATATGTATGCCTGTCAATCTAAATGAGAAATATAATTATGATTTCACCAGTCTTCGTTTTTACTTGTACTTTTAGTGTTCAGTTATTTCTGAGTGGTGCTTGCTACCCGATTCATTTTAGAAATGTTCTTCTGAAAAATTATGTTTCTGCGTTTTTNGGGGGGGGGAATTATAATCATAGTTTGTATTAAAAGTATACTCCGTCAGCGAAAAACGTCCACTCAAATTGCGTTCATGCTTGAACTCTTACAGAAGCATTTTATGAAACTTTCTATACATTGTACATACCTGTAAACTGGGAAATGTTCCCTGTAATGATATTCACCCTCTGGAATGAGGGCGAATATCAGTACAGGGAACATTAGTCAACATTATTTACACACAATGTAGTAATCGAATGAGAATTTCACATACAGCACCCATTCATGTTCGATTTAGAACCAGGCCTGAATATCAACATGCACGGATGTCGGCAACAACTTGTATTTTATGAAAAGTCATAGTTTCTGTGCAATAGCCCTTGAAGGAATAATTTCAACATGAATTTTGCCTAAAACATTAATTACCTGCTCAAATTCAATTTTGAACCAAATCTGAAAATATTGGCACACTCGGAGTGGGCCAAGTTCGAAGGGAATGTGTGATTTTGCCTGAAGCATACATGGGTGAATGGCTGTAAATTTTGTTCAAATTAATGACTTTGACCCACTTTCCTTTCAAGGTCTTAGGGGTCATATGCGTTAAAATCTTCCATATTCATTATATTGTGGGTAGGGCTGTTTAAAACGACTTTCATCTGTTCTTACACTTTTCATGTTATCGCTCGTTCTTAAGTCATGTACAGATCTTTTTTAAGTCATGTACAGATCTTTCTCAAGTCATGTACAGATCTTTCTCAATTCATGTACAGATCTCTCTCAAGTCATGTACAGATCTTTCTCAAGTCATGTACAGATCTTTCGTAAGTCATGTACAGATCTTTCTTAAGTCATGTACAGATCTTTCTTAAGTCATGTACATATCTTTCTCAAATTTCATATGTAGCTTCCTGTTGGACCTAATTCATGCATGTTAAATGAGACTGATCGAAAGACCAAAATTACTATCGGGTAGTATAGCCATCTTTTTCCCAAGTTTTTCAATGCTAAATACCATAATATAGTTCTCGAATATTCTTAAAGTTTACAAGGAGGTGTTCAATTTTGACAATGGTTTCAAGAACAATGGCTACAAAGACTGCCCTCGTGGGATTAAATTCTGTTAATATTTCTCGGACCAGGTTAAAATTTAAACGGGAGATGAAATCGAACACAAATAACTGATATATTGTGTTATCCTGAACGGCCCGGATTATTTTAGTGAGGCTAGTCTGACAATGTTTGTAAATGCATTTAAAGTGTAAAGTAGCGCATCGCTTTACAGTAAAACTGTCCGGATTTTAAGGGAGATCGGTCTAAGTAAAAATAACAAGTGTAAAGTAGAATACGTCCAAAATAACTGTTTTAAGGTATTAATTCTAACACGACAGGTATGTGCAGTATGCCTTTAATTTCTTTTACAGAGAAAACGATTACCACGGTACTTTTTGTTTGTATCGATACAGAACAGTAAAAGAACCGGGCGTAACTTGTACGAAATGTATTTGAAGATTTGACTCTAAATAACAAGTATCGAAAAAAACCGCGGGGGAATATATTTATTACGGCAATAACGTGATATTACGTACACGGCATCTCAGAAAATAGGCACTTTCTCAGTCCAAAACGTAACCCTGTCTAAAAAGATGTGCTCCTTTGCGGAAATGACGTCATCCAAGTTGAGGTATGACCGACTGGTTCTGTCGTAATATGGCCAATTCGCAGAACCATCAGCAAACGGTTTCCTGGAAATAATATTGCTTGGATTTATTGACTTGGTATTTCAAATGTATGGAAGTAGTGTCGATGTATGCGTCTAAACAGTGTTAGTTTATTTATAATGATACTTAGTGATACGGTTATTAAAACCCTTTTTTGAGAGTAATGTAAAATTGTATTGAAATTAGCATATCATATTTCGTTCTTATTTGGTTACCAACCTAGATAATATATAGATATAAGATGTATATATACAATGTAATACATTTATTGTCAATTTATCGACATGTATTTTCAGTATGCTCAAATAATTTCTCACCTTTGTCGTTTAAGTTGCCGAACTTGCCATTGTCATCAAAAACTTCGCATACACTTTTTATTTAGTAAAGATAACTTTTACTGTTATAGCTGTACCATCATTACGAAGTTATCCGTAGCTTTATAGATACATAAATCTTACCCAGTCTTGGCGAAATTCGCCCAATACTGTTGCATATGCGCAGACAGATTGAGATCTGCATCAGAGACGTGTATCCGTTGTGCCAGTTGCTGAATTCCGAAGAGAAACACGTTATCCGACGCATGAGGAGCACCCGTGAACCAGTGCGGGTACGGACCATTCCCCCTCATGGCGGGATTCCGTCGGTTGAATATGTACTGGAAAGTATTGGTCATATTGTTCCCGTCAGAGTGAACATCCAGAGCTACTACAGACGGGACCACGAAAAACGCATCACCAAAAAGATCGCCCATTTTGTTTCCCTCTAGTTCAGGATCATCATCTTTGTATTCGTCGCAGATTTCTTTTTCAATTGTTTTGTTTTTGACGATACTTTTGGAGAAGGCACTTACAGCACCAGGTGCCAAAACGTTACATACGACAGCATTTGGTACTCCTTTTTCGGGAACGAAATGGAAAATCTGCGAGAAATTATAAAGGTATTTGTTGATGAAAATCGAACCTTCTCGGTTGACATTTCCCGCCATGAAATCAAGAGTTCGGAAGAATTGGTAGGATTCCGATGACTTGTTCTTCATGAGAGCTGAAGGGACATCCGGTAAAAACTCTTTGTCGACCACCGGGGAAATAACTGGTCCAAAAGAGAATGGCGTCAATGAGACAGGAGCTGAGGCGTTGATCTGGGCATTTAGAAGCTCTTTAGCAGTCTTGCTTTTCAGGCATTTTAGAAACATTGGCGAATTACTAGTAATGAAATGGCACCCTACTCTTTCTCCAAACGACACGGTAAATAACAGCGGTTGATGCACAATGGTCAAAAAGGAAGGCGCGGCCCCACTCTGAGCAATAGCCCTATGGAATAGTCCTTTGTTTTGGGGAATTATTGATTGAAGTCCTACACTGAACCCACCGGCAGATTCACCAAATATTGTCACGGATTCTGAATTCCCTCCAAATGCTTTGATATTAGTTTTTAACCACTTCAGCGCTAATTGCTGATCCCATAGACCATTATTGCCAGGAATGACAGTATCGTTAGTGCTGAGAAAGCCAAAAACACCCAATCGGTAATTAATTGTGACAACTACCAAACCGCCACGTAAAGCAAGGTAAGACCCGTCGAATATGGCGGCTTCTCCTTTGATGTATCCACCACCGTGTATCCAGACCATGACTGTCCTGTTGCCAAGCATATTCTTTGGTACGTATACATTTAGGGTCAAGCAGTCCTCAGAGACGTTCTGGTATGTAACTCCATTAACACTCTGAGTACAAGCGGGACCGAAAGCAGTTGCATCACGGATGCCAGGCCAAGAACCATATTCCACTGGCTTTGCAAATCGAAGCTCACCAATCGGTGGTTTTGCATATGGAATATTCCTGAACTGATACACAATAGAATTATTAGCTAGAGTGACTAGACCCCGCAGTTGACCGGAGGGGGTTGTAATGACCTTCGTGTTTTGTCCGGTTATTCCTACCACTAAACCAAACGTCACGAAGATCTGTACCACAGCTTGCATCATTGTGAAAGTTCCTAAAATAAGAAACAACGAAGTTTGGTTACAGTATTCAACTGTCTAATTCACGAACTGTAAGTAGGCCTAAAATGGTTCAAAGATTATCTCAATAACAGGAAACAAAGGGTGATTTTAAATAATTGTAAGTCGGACTGGGCGAAACAACTAAAAATGTACATAACATACTAAACTTTTATGTGTGTGAGACTGCTTAACTTTTTTATTTCGCAACATCTAGCTTTATAGTTGGGCTCATCATGAGCAGCAGATCTTATTGATGAAAATTTGATCAGTTGCAATAATAAATTGATGCGACATATTGTTAACTTATCAAACATGACTATAGGTCATAAGGTTGTTGGATTTTATTTGGAAATAGACGTTGCTACAATTTGACATTTATATGACAAATTTACCGGTTCTCAAATTTTCTGAAATTTTCACTATCGTATCTCAACATAATGCACCAAATAATATTAAAAGATTTTTGGTGTACAAGAACCGGATTTTGGTGTTTTACTTCTGTAAAACAATTGATGTAGCAAAAAGTGTATGAAAATACCAACATTCTTAGAGTTTAAGATTTTATAACTTTTTTATTATGCATTTTTATGTTACATATTTGAGTTCATAATTTGCAGCAGATCCTACTTTAAATAATATAATATTATTTGATAGCGTAAAACATTGTTTTGATAGTATTTTGGACAAAAAAGTGAACCCTGTCGTACACCTTTGGAAGGCGGCACTAAATAGTTCATAGCACAGGCCCTGGGGACCTTTTTAATTTTTTTAAAATATCTCATGGGTCGTGTCTTAGGGAGCTACAAATATAACCCAGTAATGGCTAAATTGCTTTGTGGGCAAAATTCTTTTGTTCCTGTAACAGGTCCTTTGACAACCTAAACTTGTCCACACTGTTGGAATTACTTCTTTGCCCCATATACATATATTGCATATATATGTATATAGTTGAAATACTTAAATAAAAGAACGTTTAAACTAAACTAAGTAGGCCTGAATATTGTCGGTATCAAACCGTGTGAACTGCTCAGATAGCCAAGTTATCTCTCTTGCTATTCAAGTTCAAATAGTCGTCCAAAATATATCTCGAGCATATTTCTGTGTGTAGTGGATCTTTTCTGAACGGGCGTGGATGTCATTGTTAATGTACTGTATACCCTTAACTAAAACCAATGATATATATGTGTTCCCGACGTCAAATGAACTTATTTGTAAACTTGTTTTTCCAGTTATTATAATTGAATGTTTACAAAAGAACGAGGGTGGGGGAATGTATATAAGCTATGATATGTCATTTTCAGAAAAATCTTTATATGATAAAGTTAAAATTCTCTCAATTCATGCATATTTCTCTGTAATCCTCTCCCGGGTAATAATTTAAGATTTACTCATTTTGCTTACCTAGTATATAACCCAATTACAGCTTTACTTTATACTCGTTTGTGTAGTCACATGTCCTTCGTTCTGTTTACAGCCCTTTCCTCTCATAGTCTGTCTGATTGTTGACCTTTGAGATACCGTTCCTGGTGACCGTGATATGTGCACTCACTAGGCCTATCTTTGTAATATATTTAAGCTTACCGGAGCCTTTGTTTTATGAAAATTGTAATGTGACTGTCACACATAAAATTCTGTTCATGAAAAATTCATTTTAAAGAATTTTAACGTTTGGTATATGATACTTCATGTTTTAAACTCTACCATTGTACAGTCAAGCATGCAGAAGAATAATCTATTTATAGCTATCAGCCTACCACCGTCCTACCAATACCAAAAGCGTATGTAACTACCACTAATGTAGCTACTGCTTATATAAAGCTACCATCTGTCCATATTTACTAATTGTACACATATACCACTTGTGTATAGGTACAAAAGGTAGCAATAGACAGGTGGTATTTATAGACAGATGGTAGCTATAGACAATTGGTAGTTACATGCATAGGCAGAAGGTAGCTATTGACAGGTGGTAGTTGTAGACAGATGGTAGCTATAGCTAGGTGATAGTTATAGACAGATGGTAGCTGTAGACAATTGGTGGTTAAATTACATGTATAGGCAGAAGGTAGTTATTGACATATAGTATTTATAGACAGATGGTAGCTATAGACAATTGGTAGTTACATGTATAGGCAGAAGGTAGCCTTTCACAGGTGGTAGTTACATGTATAGGCAGAAGGTAGCTATTGACAGGTGGTAGTTATAGACAAATGGTAGCCATAGACAATTGGTAGTTACATGTATAGGCAGAAGGTAGCTATTGACAGGTGGTAGTTGTAGACAGATGGTAGCTATAGATAATTGGTAGTTACATGTATAGGCAGAAGGTAGCCTTTCATAGGTGGTAGTTACATGTATAGGCAGAAGGTAGCTATTGACATGTGGTAGTTATAGACAAATGGTAGCCATAGACAATTGGCAGTTACATGTATAGGCAGAAGGTAGCTATTGACAGGGGGTAGTTATAGGCAAATGGTAGCTATAGACAATTGGTAGTTACATGTATAGGCATAAGGTAGCTATTGACAGGTGGTAGCTATAGACAATTGGTAGTTACATGGATAGGTAGAAGGTAGCTATTGACAGGTGGTAGTTATAGACAGATGCTAGCTATTGACAGGTGGTAGTCGTAGACAGAAGGTAGCTATTGACAGGTGGTAGTTATAGACTGAAGGTAGCTATAGACAATTGGTAGTTACATGTATAGGTAGAAGGTAGCTATTTACAGGTGGTAGTTATAGACAGATGGGAGCTATAGACAATTGGTAGTTACATGTATAGGCGGAAGGTAGCCTTTCACAGGTGGTAGTTACATGTGTAGGCAGAAGGTAGCTATTGACAGGTGGTAGTTATACACAAATGGTAGCCATAGACAATTGGTAGTTACATGGATAGGCAGAAGGTAGCTATTGACAGGGGGTAGTTATAGACAGATGCTAGCTATTGACAGGTGGTAGGCATAGACAGAAGGTAGCTATTGACAGGTGGTAGTTATAGACAGACGGTAGCTATAGACAATTGGTAGTTACATATATATGCAGAAGGTAGCTATTGACAGGTGGTAGTTATAGACAGATGGTAGCTATAGATAATTGGTAGTTACATGTATAGGCAGAAGGTAGCCTTTCACAGGTGGTAGTTACATGTGTAGGCAGAAGGTAGCTATTGACAGGTGGTAGTTGTAGACAAATGGTAGCCATAGACAATTGGTAGTTACATGGATAGGCAGAAGGTAGCTATTGACAGGGGGTAGTTATAGACAGATGCTAGCTATTGACAGGTGGTAGTCATAGACAGAAGGAAGCTATTGACAGGTGGGAGTTATAGACAGATGGTAGCTATAGACAATTGGTAGTTACATGCATAGGCAGAAGGTAGCTATTGACAGGTGGTAGTTATACACAAATGGTAGCCATAGACAATTGGTAGTTACATGTATAGGCAGAAGGTAGCCTTTCATAGGTGGTAGTTACATGTATAGGCAGAAGGTAGCTATTGACAGGTGGTACATGTACAGGTAGTTATTAAAGGATAGACCTTTACTTTGACCGCGTATACGGAAGTATGAACGCAGTTGGCAACGAACATGTATGTAACCGATTTGCGTTAATTCATATGTACCAGCATGAGATTGAAAAAAAAGTGTCGTTCAATCCTTATATAACTACCATTCGTCTATATAACTTCCACATTTCTATATAGTTTATCATTTAGCTACCACCTGTCTATAACTACCACCTGTCTAAAACTACCTACCTGTCTATAACTACCACCTGTCTATAACTACCACCTCTCTGTAATAACCAGTTCTACATTGGATAACTACCCTACAATCTTTGCTTCAGTTTTATATCTATTCAAGTATTTTCTTTAAAATATCAATTTGTTTAAAAAGAACCATAAAACTTGATTCAATTTTAACATTGGGTTGTATTCAGACACGTTTTATAATACATTTGTAGTTGATAGCTTTTACAATTACAGTGTACAAGAGTTCTATAAATTTTATTGCTATATTTTAGCATCAAATATATTTTGAAAAGATTTCCCTCCGTTTATACATTGTAGATTAAATATAAACATGTTCAAATAACGATTTTTTTATGATGTACCGATCCGGCATGAAATTAGTAAAACAAAACTAAATTAAGAATATGTTCAAGGCACAGTTATTTTCACTTTTTGTTCAGTAAATTCAACTTTTCTTCGTTATAATTTTATAGTTCCTGGTGCTGACACGTCGCCTTGACGATTTGGGGAACCTCCGACATCCAGAAGGATACTCTGTCCCGGAACACATGCGTAGATGAGGAGGCTGGGACGAAGCTTATATTATAGAAGTATCCGTCATCTTCCGTATATGGGCTCCATTTCGGTAATGTGATATCGCTTGGGTTTCTGCAACATAAAGGAAAAGGTGTTAACAGATCGGCAGAATGGTTCAGAAAACAATTAATTTTTTTGTTTGTTATAAATATTTTTTCTTATTTTGTTTGGTTATTTTTTCAGTAGAAGCACGAACTTGGCAAACAAAGTTAAACATTGTAGCTTACCGCTGGATTTAATGCCAAGCAAATCAATTTCTTATTATATCATATTTTCTTTCAAAGGTTGATGGAAATTTGGGCGAAAATCTGAAAGTGAAATTGTGATACACCTGAAAAAAAACTAGTGTCAAATGACACTTATATTACACAGATACAGACAAAAAGACGATGTATCAATAAAACAGATGTTTTTCCCCATAGAGTTGTCTACCGATCCATAAACAAATATACATGTACCACTTTGCAAGATGATTGACTTTAAGGGAAATAGCGGCATAACCAGGCTGAATTGCCTGAACGCCTTTGTTGCATCTCATATAAATTTGTCAACAAATCCTAAAACAAATATATTTAAAAAAAACATTTTCGTATTTATCAAAGTGGACCCCTGATATCGGGAAGACTTTATAAAAAAACAGAGAATCAAGGGGAGGTAACACCTCAACGGATACACACAATGGCCTTGAATTCGAGAGACTTGCTAACGGGGAGGGCGTGTGCGTATCACCATAATAACAGCGCCTTAAAACTGTTAGTGAATCCAGTGTATACTAAACTATTGAAGCATTTTGTGGAAGATTTTGTTAAATGTGATAAAAGACTTGCAGAAGTGAGAATACAGGTAAGTATGATATACACGTGTACTACACGTGTCGAACCAGGTAAAACACCCGCTCAGATGCCCGTGGAAATCGCACCGTACACGTTTACTATCAATGTATGTCTCCGTGTAATATTAGATTTCGATATTGGCCGTTGGGCCACACAGCATCCAAAAACAATTACATTAAGCCCTGAGGAAACTTATACTCGGCGAGAACTACTAGAACATATACATGTACATGTAGCTATAACGTATAGGTAATGTAGCATAGGTTATAGAATCCTGACCTTACACCTTACGCCATTATAAAATCAACATAGAGAGGAGAGAAGTGAGTGAAGGCGGAGGGGTGCAAATATGGAAAAACTACTTTTAGAAAATTATGTTTTACTTCAGTACTGTCTTTACTTACCCTGAACTCCACGTCCCCAACCCTACCCACACCCAACCCCAACTCTCCTTCCTTCCTCTGATACCCATCCACCCATCCACCTTCCCCCATGCAGCAAACTATTCAACAAGGGAGCCTCTGATACGTTATGGGCCCAAATTACACCAAATGGTCCTGATCTGTCCGAGGGTATCAGCAGGTTGGCAGGGTATACGTATGCGTTGGGACATACACGTTTTCGTTTACACGAATTTTATATTTTATTGGATCGTCGTGTATATTTATGAGTCTTTAGTTTACGACTGCATTATATTTTTTCAATAATACTTTCAAGCTTGTAACTTGGCGATTTGTTCCGTTTTCAAGAATATATAATACTCTCTTCTTCTAATAACATTTTTTCAGGACCGTGACTGTTAAACCGTTAAAGATAACATTAGAGGAGGCAGACGAAGAGCGACAGAAGACAGAAAGAAAGAAAAGCACCGTAAGTCCCCAGCATGTCCCCACTGCCCCACGAAACATGTACATCTATTTTTATCCTGTAATTATCATGTTACCAATTGCAAGCTAATCATACAGAAGCCTTAATCAAACTTATGACTATTTGTTGTCACTGGTCTGCATATATATTTTGCATAGAATGAAAAATTTAGACTTTTGAAGCAGAGTTTTAATAGTTATTTTACAGAATTAATTAATAATCGATCTCATGCTTCTTTTTAACTTTGTGACTTCACAAAATGCAAATAAGCCAGTGTCATCCGCGAATAAACTTATTTTAGTTATTTACTCAGATTTATATATTCATGTCTTTCACAGCAGCATAAAACAGAAAACATATGTGTTTATTATAAGTTGACCAGCTTGTTTTCAAATTCTCATATTGTTTAATGTAACATTTAATGAAACTTTTCTGTAAAATATGGAAATACTTCAAAGAAAAAACAATGAGTTAACGAAAGCGAATAATGTTTTGAACATTATCAAAGTACTTGCGTCATAATTTGAACGATTTAAAAAACGTTATTACAGGATGCTGAATTAATATATGTACAATTTTTCGTGACTGTTATTGTTGTCTGTCTATTTCTCAACTTTACTCTCTGTGTGAATAACCCCTCCCCATCTCTGACAGAAAATAAAACGCGTTTAATGAAAGACAAAGAGAAGATGGCAGAAAGGTACGTATTTGTAAGTATGGCCGTTTTTTGTTGAATGTCAATTTGAAATACTTCATATGTTGTACTAATATTCGACACTTGAAATAAAGTCATAAAAACTGTTAAGATTTTATTGCGTGCTTTTTTTTTCCGAATCAAGAAGTGAGACCAAATGGGAACCAAAAATGAAGACGCTCTGAAGATCACAGTGAGTACCCAGCATGCATCCACTGCCCACTTCCGGTTCCTATAATTTTTCCCTTTTCTTATATTGACCGTAATACTTCTTACTAATGCAAATAGCGATAATATTACACATTTACTGTAGTATTTATTCGCTGATCTGGTATTTCGTTGATTTACACACAGTAACAAATTGATTTGCGGGAAATCATTTTTTTGTGGTTTGAAATATTCATATTAGATTATATTTTATATTATTAGTTAAATATGAAAAGGATACCTTTATATACAGTCTTTAATGGTCCTTCGCTTCATAACAGATGTTCCGTCAGTCCATTTTTTTTTTTACAATAAAATGAATAATTGTTCTGTTTACTATGTCAAAGAAGACATTATATTGCCAAGCTCGTGTGTAGTAGTAACTCAAAAAATGACAAATACATTCTCTTTATTAAACGAAAACAGTAAATATCAAATCCACATGAAACATAGAATCCCTACGGTTATTGCTACACAAAGCTGTGGCATTAATGAAATCCGTCGATTTTGCTTGGCTAATGTAAAGCTGAGGTTATTATTTTCTTGACCTGACTATGACCTTACGTCACTTTCTTCGCAGTATTGTTAATAAATTCATCAATACGTCAATTTGAGATATTCCACATATTATTCTTGAGTTGATTTAATACTGTTAACGGACAAGTCATAAAGGGTACGACTTTTTCCTAATTGACAAAACAAAGATTTTCCAGCGGTTTGGTTCCGAAAAGTTATCCCCGCCTCAAATCTACATTGTCACGTGACTACTAGGAATGAACGAGGAGGACTATGTATACGTAATTTGGAGAATATGTTTAAACGGAACTGTGTTACATACCCTCATACATGTTACTATTTAACTATCTCACAGCATACCCTGTCAGTGACATCTACATGTATGTTACAGAGAGAAGGGATACATTGTGTATACTTGTACATGTAGTCAACAGTTTAACGTATTAGAATTTGTGAACGTGTTCTGACAAATTTAAAAAAAACTACTTCTATATATCATATAACATAGTTATATTTTCCTATGTGGACTGTATCAATGCAATTTGTATTTTTACTACGTACATGTATTACTTAATGTATTAGAAAAAACACAATCTATAATTTGTACATGGCGCCATTTCACTGTTAATACAAATAAACATGAACTGAAAGTGGAGAATTTGAAGACGTAACGATGGTCATTGAAACAGTGTTTTTCGAGAATGTCCACATACATTCTTGGTAGTGTCATAGAAAGGGGTTTGAATACATTTTCCCCATATGAGACCTTTTAAACGAGCACGAGGCTTTCTGATTAGCTCGACAGAACTTCTATAAGATAACAACTTGTACTTTTCGTAAATCTCGTATGAAATAAAAAAAAAATCAGACCCAATATTTATGATACAACTTCTATAGAAAGGTGTCTGTGTAAGATTATTTTTGTTTTCCAGTAGCGCAAAATTCATAACTGCAAATAAGTGAAAACCTATATGATAGATGAATAAATTCGATAATGTGTATGTGTGGATGATATCAAATATAAGCAACAAGGATACTGACATGTCAACAAAATTGTACGTTAGGATTTCCAACTTACCAATGCTTAATTAAGATATTTGAAGATCGCTATTTCCTACACCTATATTTATGGAATTCATTGTCAGGTCTCTCAATGCTGTAACATCTATACAAACTGCGATAAAAGAAAGTCTCACCCATATTTTGCGAAGTTTGTCCAGAGTTTAATCATCTGTTTGGCTAATGTTAAATCTTCTATCCTGTTGTAAGCTATGTTGGATCTCTGAGTTCCTCTGAACAGGAATGTTTTTTCGGCAGTGTGGGGGGTGCCAACAAACCAATCAGGTAGTGTTGAGTCTTCCTTTGATGTGTAATGACGAGAAAACAGGTATTGGTAGCTATTTGTTATTGAATTATCCTTGGAATGTGCACTGAGTATCTTAATTACAGGTACAATAAAAAACACGTCACCATATAAATCCAGCATTTTACTTGCGCGCGATCCGTCATCAGTCCCGCGATATTTCTGACAGATCGCTTGTTCTAGAACACGTCTATGTAAACATTTTGGGAAAAGATCTTTAACTAAACCAGGAATTAAGAATTCACACACAATACCTGGTGGAAAGCCATCCATTGGGTTGAAATTAAATTCTTTTGATAATTCTTCATGAAAGATACCATAGAACATCGATCCTTCTTTGTCTGTTCCGCCTGCGAGAAAGTCGACAGAACGGAAAAGTTGAAATGACGCAGATGTTTCGCGACTTAGCAATTCCTCTGGATAGTCTGTGAAGACGTCCCCATCCACAACTGCCCCGAACATCAGTTCATAGCGTGCTCTGTCACCTCTATGCCATGACATAGCCTCCTGAGCTGACAGAATAGCCTCTGCTGAAGTTCCATTAATACAGTGTACGAACTGTTTTGTGTCCGTAGCTTCGGTGTCACTCGTGCAGCCTAATAATTTCCCAAGTACCTTAACATAGAATAAAGGATCATACACAAAGGCTAGGTACGAGTTTGCTGTTCCACTCTGTGCAATAACCCTTTGAAACAAGTGTTTGTTTCGAGGAATGAGCGTGTGGAGGGAAACGCTAGCCCCTCCCGACGACATGCCAAATAAAGTAATGGAATTAGGATCGCCTCCGAATGAAGCTATGTTGTCCTTAATCCACTGTAGAGCCAGGTGCTGATCCCAGAGTCCGAGATTCCCAGGGAGGTCCTTGTTTCCCGTACTCAGGAACCCTAGCACTCCCAGACGGTAATTAACTGTCACCACAATAACATCTCCATATAAGGCAATGTACGTCCCATTGTACATAGAGCCTTGGTTGGTATAAAACCCTCCCCCGTGAATCCAAACCATAACACTCTTTCTGGAATCGTACGATATATTACCAGGGACATATATATTTAATGTTAAACAGTCTTCAGAGATTTCCGTATTTGGCAGGGGTAATATTGAATCGGCATGTATCCTTTGCATGCATGCCGGTCTAAAAGTAGTGGCGTCCAATAATCCATTCCATTGATCATGTGCTTCTGTTTTACGGAATCGGAATTTTCCGATTGGAGGCTTTGCGAATGGAATTCCTCTAAATTCGAATATATACGTACGGTCTACCCTTCTTGTAAGTCCCCTTACTAAACCCATCGTGGTTTGTACGACAGGAATAGATCGACTTTCCGATAGGAGCACTGACATCACAACCATCATCTCCAGCAGTCCAAAATACATCTGTAGATTTAATGATATTTTTACTTGAAAATAACACGGGGTTTATTCGCCTATAACCTTAAGATGACTAGGTTTCCAGATTGTACCGACAGATACCTAAATTTTAATTGTTTGATTAATTTAATTAATAAAGAAGAGAATTTGCGTCGGTGTTAGGCCTAATGTGCTCAAGTCGTTGGCATATTGTTGTAATGATACGGAACGATTCCAGTCAAAAAAATATTCTATGTGTTCAAATGTTATTGGTGTTTATTTTTTAATACAAAGCTCGGGTCCTTACACGTTCGATCGTCTTCTGCCAAATGTAAGTGTCACTACTTTTTGTCACACAGATAACCAGCCTATACAGTGAAAAGGCACTATCATATGAGTTTTTTGTATGTTATATCACGTATGTAATGCGTAATATCACCTATATTATGGTTAGTCAGTTTTCGCGGTACAAAACGTTAACGCACTCGCCTTTAGACATCCATGCGGGATCGATTAACTGATTTTAGACATGAAAGTTATGGGTCATCTGCCCGACCATGGGGGTTTTCTCCAGATACGTTTGTTTCCCACCACACACAGACCCCCTTCTACATTTCAATCGGATCCAGCGATTAAAATTACTTAATAATATGTAATTCATATTTTTTTGCCAAATAACCCAACAATTAAATAGTTTCTATTTATCTTTGATATCACCAAATTTAAGACAATCTCTGCTTGATGAAAAGAGTTTCAAACAGAACGGGATTCAACACAATCTTAAAGGTTTCTTATATATTATAACGATGTCCCTAACTACAAAGTTACAAATGTTACAATTTTACAGTGTTTATTTTGACATAGCTACATTTGTACCACAAAAATGTCTTGAAAGAAAGAGAAAATGAAAGCATTTACTTTGGATATGTGTTCAAGACATTTGCGGTTTTCGTATTTATATGAAGGTTTTAAAGTCCCTGGAATATAAAGCAGTTTGCATTTTCCATGACGTCACATGGCTTTTACTGTATGTTCTAATAATGTAATAAGTTAAACACTTCAGTTTATCAAAAGATATTCATGTTAAATTTAAACAGCTTCGTGAACAATTAAATATGAGTTTCTATTTAAAAAAAAGTTTAACATCACTGTTAAATACACCTCTTAACAAAACAGTTTCACTTTGAGAAACAAAGCGTTTTGACGTTTTTACCAACAGAAGATACTTCTAAAAGGTACATGTACTGCACAAAAAACCCTCAAACGGGGTTAGCATTCCGGTACTTTTGAAAATGGTACAGTTTAAGGGCGATATTTCAATTTCCTTTATTACTTGTAAGATAATGTGCACCCATAAAATAAAGTCATACATGGTACTTAGCAGATATTTTTTTATTTCGAATGATAATATATTTAACTAAAGAAGGAATGTATACAATTCATACGGTTCCTATTATAGTAATAGGAAAGCACTAACTGTGACGAACGGTAATGAAGAAGTTAAATAAAATGATTATTTACCTTTCAAGGTTTTCTCGTAGCACAATCTATTATCGCAACATTCCTTACCGCTTAGTAACTTGGAGAGCACACCTGCTAGGTTCTGACTGTATAAGTAGCTAAATTCGTTGATATGTCACGCTGTTGTCGTTGGCTTAGACAGACAGAGCAAACATTTCCCATGGATATCATGGTCAAATTAAGTCAGTGACATGTACGGTAATATGTTGTATCACACATATAGATTATGCACGCCTTCTCACGAAACAAACGTGCCAGTTACAGTTGAATTCAAACAGAAAATAATAATATATATAAAAAAACCCGAAATAGCATGAAAGCTGCTCGGGGAAATGTGTAATTGAACCAAATACTGTTTGATGTCTGACAGATTTTTAAAAACTATATAAATATTAAGATTACTCCTCCGTTGCTGGGTTCCGGAATGGGCTTTTGTCAAACTGCTCCCAACATTTAAACATTTACTCTCTCTCCTATGATAAGTGATGTCTTTGGCAAGCGATGCCGGTTTTTGAGAATGGGTTTTTGGTACTTTTTTGGCAATCTAATAAGTCGAGTTAAATATTTGTTAAAAATATGGTACATTGTAACGTGATATTAGAGGTGGACAAATTCGAAATAGACCTGTTTCGAATTCCGCATTTTTAAAATATTCGAAACAGGTCTAAAATAAACACTACTAACCGAACATCGAAAAAACGAATACGCCACAATTGCAAGCTAATACTTTTATTAACATGTTAAAAAACCATCTATTTGAAAATTACACACATGTTGACATGCTTGTGAAAGACAAATCGCGGTATAGGTTTACAAATCCTCTGCGCGTGTCTCAACTTCAAAGTCTTTTCTATATTTGACGTCATTTCCGTTTTCATGATGACGGGTGCAAATGAGGTTTGCAAACGAATTGTAGAGCCCTGCATCCAAGATAAAAGTGTCTATTACTTTCCTACGATGGTATTGGATCCGATTTTTAGTAGTGACGGGATGCACCAATTCCAAAACCTCATTCTATCCGCGGCCACGTGACTTCCTGTTGATGATACTGTATTGATGTTTAAGTACTCAGCTGTCATTGGGTCGTAGGTAGGCCATCGGGGGAGTCCTTTACCATTTGGGTTGCTGAATAATTATAAAAAATACATCATCTGTACTTATTATTTCGTCATAACTGTTTAAAACATTGATGATAATATCATATCACTATAGTTATTTTGAAATTAAGTATAGTTTGGTTTGAGTTTCTTGCTCAAATATACAAAACTAGGGACATAGATACATACATACCAATATACCAAAATCAGAATAAAATATACATTACGTACATGATACGTATTTCCTGCACAATTAAATGTGAAACATGCTGAAGTTATCACATAATAATTGATAAAAAAAGTTGCATTTAATATGAATAGTTGTTTAAAGTTAACCTACCCATGCTTAGCGAAGTTGGTCCAATAGGAAATCATTTTTTTTCTTAGAGCATTTCCATCCGCAGTTTTGTTCAGCACATTCCCTGGACCATTTAAGCCGAAAAGGAAAGACAATTCTGCTCCATGCCACGCTCCTTTGAAATATACAGGAAGAACAAACGGGCCTTCAATAATACCCTCTCCAGTAAATAAATACTGGAAAGTATTTCCCGATGGGACAGAACCAGCAAGTGAATGTGAGTTTAGCGCTCCGACTGTTGCAGCAAGAAATACATAATCTGTGAACAAATCCAACATATTCTTACTCTGCTCAAGCGTATCCTCACTACTGTATTCATCATAAATAGCACGTGACACTTGCTCGTTGTTATTGTAGAAAAGCCGGGAAATGGTTGGTGCAAACTCGTCATGTAGAACAATGTTAGGAATTTCAAGCGTGGCATTGAATCCGTACCTCTTTTGCAAACCATAAGCGACAATGGTTGCGCTAATTCCCTCCGTGTTTGATGTACCGTATATAGCGTCTAACGATCTGAAGAACTTGTTTTCCTCAGATGCGGAATTCGAAAGTAAAACCTCGGGCATTGCCCTAATTAAAATTCCGTCAACAACTGGCATAAATTCGATACTATAATCGCCCCCATACACAGTGGAGTTGAGGTTTAGTTGTGCCTCGATTATTTCGTCAGTAGTTTCTCCCTAAGACATTGAAGAAGTGCTGCCGTATCAATTTGATTGTCTGCATTTTTTATGCAGTTGATCGCACGACCGTATCTAAATGTAACAGGTTTTGGATCTGATCGGACAGCTATGTTAGAACTTTGTCCTCCACTTTCAGAAATTATCCTTGTAAATAAGCCTCTGTTCATTGGCATCATGGCGTGGAGGCCTACGCTAAAGGCTCCCGCTGATTGCCCAAATATGGTCATCGTGTCAGGATCACCGCCAAAAGATGCAATGTTATTTTTCACCCATTCAAAAGCCAATCGTTGGTCCCATAGACCGTAGTTCCCACGTGCTGCATCGTCGCCTGTACTGAGAAAGCCAAGTGCTCCAAGACGATAATTCACTGTGACTACTATAACGTCTCCTTCAGTTACTAGAAGTGTTGCGTCATATAATGAGGCCTGTCCTAACATGTAGGCTCCCCCGTGGACCCATATCATGACACTCTTTCTGTTTTGTGATGAGGCGATGTTGGGTGTATACACATTGAGTTGCAAACAGTCTTCAGAAAAGTTTCTATTGGGCAGTTTTTGAAGGATACTTTTAATACGGGCAATGTCTTGACTACATGAAGGACCGAACATTGTTGCATCTAAAACCTCCGTCCATGTTCGGTGTGGCACCGGCTTCCGTAGCCTCAGATTTCCCAATGGAGGTTCAGCATAAGGAATATTTCGGTATTGAAATACCGTATTGCCTTGGTAAGGTACACCAATCCCCTTAATTGGTCCGGACGGTGAACGCACTGTCCTAAAGATGGTACACTGGACACAGCTTACAAAACCAGTCACGAACAGTAATATGAACGTGCTACGTTCCATTTTTGAGATGTCTGGAAGAAAAAGAAAAAAATATGAATAGTTTTTACAACCTTTATAGCCAATATGAAGCAGACTTCAAAATGTATGAAAACGTGTATGTTGAATAACATATATGTTGAATAACATGCAATGGGTTCAAATTTATTGTATAGAAAATTGCTAATAAAGATTAGGTACTATTAAAAGTGTCCAGCAAAAAATCTGATATTAATGTTTCACGCATTTTTTTTCTTCTTGAACAGCATCAAACAGATATGAAGGATTTACGGTATACTGGAAATGTTTCGCCCAGTATTAATTTCGCACTTCTTTTTTTTTTATTCGCTATAATGATAAAATTGCCTTCTTCACGGAGTGCGAAAAAGACGAAAATTAAACTTTAGCAAACATTTCTCTGTATACAATAATATATAGAATGTATATCCCTACCTATCCAAAAAGCATGAATTAAATATGTACCCACAATACCTACCGAAATCAGATTAGAGAAAATTGTCTTTTTACGTATACGAATGGAAATGTTTATCTCGTGCATAATGTATCCGATGGATGTGTATACACATTAACCCACATACCTGACTTGTGTCTGTTGTCCTTTCAAATAAACTTGTCTTCTGTTTGATATGCTGAACCTATACGCATTTTATATTGTGTACTGTGACGTTTTATTCGATGAGTATATGATAACTGAGCCACGGAAATATTTTGCTGATAGAGAAGGGTGATTAAACAATGTTCATCCCGTTAACACTCTTAAAATCCACTTTTACCAGCTACTTGTACCTACATGTACCCTGTCCAATCCCTGCTATCATACCGACGTTGATGGCTTGCAGCAAGGGGCCTGAATCTTCAATCTACATTGAAGAGACTACATGTTGTCATCTTACAATGATTTTAATTGCTTTATGAAGCGTGTTAGAATGTTATTCGTATCAGATGGCGTCTGTTTCTTAAGGTTATATCAAAACGGTATGAACAGACGATGGCACTACTCGGATGTCATTTTACAGTGCTATCTTACTGAAGTGTCACAACTTGGATACGGTAGTATGGTTGACACTACAGCCGGTCAGAATATGCTAACAACGGGCTAACCAGAGGTGCTGTAGGGAACAGGAAGAGCATTTAGGAATGACAAAAAATATCAACATTGCTGAATCGTATTTTATCGAATCGTACCATATTTTTTTCTGTTTGTCATAAAAATTTATGATTTAAATTATTTCCATGTGATTCGTGTATAAAATATGTTTATCCGGGGAAATTCGGTTTGATGAAATAAACATTTACACTGAAGAGTTATAATCAATAAAGCTGCATAATTGTTATCAATTAATCAAGCGTTAATCGGAGGATTTGTTGTCGCATATTCACAAAACCTGCAAAATGGTAAAGATTAGTGGTTTCAAAATTTGATATTTGCAAATATGTTGTGATGATGTAGTATTGTATGGGTCTAGTTCACCGAATCTCTTTCGTGCTCAGTTACCTACGGTACTGGAGGCTTTGCTATATATTTAGTATATGTATATATAAACCCCATAAATCTCAGTTGCAATTAATTGTATGTTAAAAACAAACTAGCCAATAGTATAGTATTTATTTGTCGTGTTGTCGTATACCATTCTCATATACATTGGAATATATGCTGTTGTTTTGCAAAAACGGAAAACAGTTTGCTGAGCTTGCCTGTATGCATAAAAATGCATTACAAAATACTTCTACATTACTATCAATAATAAAGATATTTTTATTTTTGAATTAAAATAATACATATTTATAGAAAATGAAATAAGTAAACACGTAATACGCCTTTTTTTGAAAGTATTTTTTAAGTATCTAATAAACCCGACTTCTAATGGCAATTCAGTTTCTATTGTTTTAAATGCTTCGAAAGGAAATAGACCTTAAAAATAAGCCGTATACGCTTTACCATGGAAATGGCTTTGAAAATAAGACGACATTGAAAATGGGAAGGCTTCAAGAAAAAGCTCGGGATTTTTTTTTTTAAAAACGAAAAGAAGCCGCGACTTATTTTGTGATATGGCGGGTTTTCTACCTTTCACACTTGTTGTGTGTGTCCTCAATGAATGTAGTTAACTGGAATATTTGGTTATATGTGCCGGACAAAATATAGATGTAATTTGTGTAGGGGACATATCAGTAATTTCGATATTTACATTTCTATGGACTATTCAAACGTGTTATCCTCATTCCGGTCGTAAAAGTTGTTTAGTGCAGAATATTATTTTGGAAAGGAGGTACATGCTATACTAGGACCCCAGCTGTTATGCAGACGTTAAACCCCGTTAATAATAGCAAAGTTACCTACTGCATTGATCATCGACGTACAAATGTAGTAAAGACATTATGTTTTAAATTTTGATAACAACTGAACGATTACGTGATGTCTGTAACTAAACAAATGTAAAATTGTCGGATTTATAATGTTGTGATTAAATAAACTACACAAAATGATTGTTGTACTTGAAATACTCAAATAGTATTAACTTTGTTTCTCCTCCTTTATATCGTATAGCTGACCACGTGACCATATAACAAACATTCAGTTCATAATATAGGTCACACCCCGTTGCGATAACGGAATTAACCTACCTGTAAATGAGAAGGAGCGTGAGGTACAGTGTGTATCTGACAACATAGACACGCGTTTTTGCTCGATCTTTATCTAACAATGTTAATATTATATACTCACATTTTTGGAAAGAGGTTGCTACATATGTACATACTTAATACATACGATATTTGTGATTTTGATATCGGGTCAATAACTGTTTCTTCGTTTGGATTTTATTGCCTTTTTTCATAAATTAAGATCGTTAATTTGATACAAACTGTCAGTTAATAGGTCTCGTTCATGATTTGTTGCCTTGTGCTGTCTTCAATTTATTTTCGAACTTTTTTTTCAAAAAGTGTATTTAAACAACAAAGGAGAATACTTTGTCCAAATATCTTAAACAAACACCATACTGAATATTGTAAATGTTTAACAGTGAAACCTGTTTACACAAACACAACAAAACGCCGTATTTCGATTCTGAATAGAGTGTTATTTACACAGGTTTATGCTTAATACAAACTAATTGAAATAAATTTGTATGCTGATTTGAACACGTTGGAGAACGAACATCAGTTGTTTAAGCAAAATACATCAAATACTATGTTTTTATTTTATTTAATCTTGTACTGATGTGTTGATGTGCATGTACAAGTTATTTTGGTATCTCAACAGTTCATTTATCAACGTAATCATTGTCATCTATATGTCTATATATAATGATTAACTGAGTGTACAACGATTGTTCACAGCACGCCTCTCGGCACCAGGAAGACCACGAGCAGTGCTGTTACAATGTAGACGATGCTGCTATAATGAATCTGGCTATAGCTGCCGTTGATTTGCGTGTCACTGCTGTTTATTTTGTCCATCCTTGCGTATTGTAAGTGGATGTTCCAGAATTGAACTCTATCCCAATACAATCTTCCTTCATCAGTGGCGTTGTTGTTCAGGTTCAAGTACCTATAACTCGTCAGGTTATACATAGGCCAGTCCGGTAGTCCAGCACCGTTCGGATCGCTTTTAAAATAGATATACATACATATACATGTATATCCAACGAGTTAAAGCACGATCAGTTATTCTTTTATAAATTTCAGAACTTTGAAGGTCAGTGTTTTAAGAGATAAGTTAGCGAAAATGTCATTTTATTTCGTAAGGTTGATCCGAGAATATTTTATCTGGAACTTTTCATATCTATTAATATATTAATTTAGAAACTGTGAATTCCTTTTCTATGAAGGTAAATGCATTTTAGTTCTCGCCTATTTAAGTGTTGATGTTTATGTGAATAATGGAATACAAAAACCAAATGCTTATGATTGATAATTGATTCTTTCCAGAACATTACAAAACATGATATTTAATCAAATAAAAGTTTTGATACCATCTCATTCAATATCTAGTAGTTTCTTAAAACACACAGCCAATGTTCTTTCTGAAATGTAGAAATACATACCCAGTCTTCGCAAAATTACTCCAGTATTTGATAAATCTGTCAGACAATTTCGTATCCTCAGGACAATCCGCATTGATCAGTGTACCAATGTAATTTGGCCTGAACAAGTAGGGCAGGTCACTGGCGTGTGGAAAACCCTTGAACCAAGATGGATCCCGGTGGTACTTTATACAGTTTTCATGGGATAAAAGATACTGGAATGTGTTGCTTTGTGTGTTGTCTTTGGCATGTCTGTCAAGGTAGGAGACAGTTGGAGCCTGCATCACCATATCGCCATACATCTTAGTAACATTTAGTGCTTGGTCTTGGTCACTAACATCAGACGTATACATCAGACAAATCTCCTTAGCTACATGCAAACGGTTGTGATAGAAGTCCTTGGCAATTTCTGTTGCTATTTTGGAACAGAAATCGTCAGTTGATATGCCCTCTGTTAAGTTCAGTCCCCAAAGCCTTTCCATGCTTTTCCCATGGTAATCTATCAACAGTGAGCCTTCTCCGCTGTTTGTTCCTCCAATAACATCAAGAGATTGAAGGAACTGGTATGCTGGCGAGGAGGCATTCTTAATAATAATCATGGGATGAATTGGAATTAGGTCTCCGTCCACTACCGGGAATATGCTGAAATCCAGGATGAACTCACCGTATTTCTTCACCACGTGCTCTTGTTGACTTTTTAATATTTCTTGTACGGATCTTGTGCGAATGCAATCCACCATCTCAGTTGTGTTAGGGTGTTTGTTGTTATCATTTGTGCAGTTAAGAAGAATACCATACTCTTGAGCATATGCAGGAATCTCAAGGTTAAATGCGGCTTCCTGATTCGCTGTTCCACTCTCAAAGATTGCCCTGTGGAAGAGTCCTTTATTGTTTGGGTTAAGAGCATGAATAGACGCGCTCATAGCTCCTGCTGATTCGCCAAACAGTGTTATGGAGTTAGAATTTCCACCAAAAGCCTCAATATTGTCTTTTATCCATCTTATTGCCAGTAACTGATCCCACAGTCCATAGTTACCAGGTGCAGCGTCATCCCCTGTACTGTAAAAACCTAGAATACCAACACGGTAGTTCAAAGTGACCACTATGACGTCACCAATAAAGGTCAAATAAGAACCGTCGTACAGACCGCTTTGTCCAGACACAAAAGCACCACCGTACAGCCACACTATCACAGACTTCCTGTTGGTAGGAGACGCTGATGTTGGAACGAATATATTGAGCTGCAAACAGTCTTCGGAGATGTTGTAGTTGGGTAAGAAATTATCTCCAACTCTAAATGTATTCATATCCTGCACACAACTTGGACCGAATTTCGTTGCATCATAGGTTCCAGACCATTTCCCGAATGGTTCCGGTTTGCGAAGTCTTAGTTCTCCCATCGGAGCTTTTCCATAAGGAATTGCACGGAACTGGTATATGTTTCCGGTTAGGACAGATGTCTTCAGTCCCCTTACAGGTCCCAACGATGTGTTCACACTATTGAATATTTGACAATCCACATCAGATGCTATGAATGACATCATTAGAAGCCATATTGCAATCGTCATCCCCATAATGTCTATGAAAACGAGAACAGAAATCACATAAGACATGTACACGATAATATAAACAAACATAATGTTATAATGTTAACACTACGCATAGTTTAGCAATACATAGTGACATATTGCAACTCCAAAACAATGAACTTTTAAGTTTTGATTTTAGTTTAACTTGTATGTTTAAATTACAAGTATTATAAACGATCAATAATTGAGGTAGATGACACACATATTTACCTGTTCCGCCTGTCTTTCTGTGCCAGTTGCATTAAAAATAATCGTAAACACACTAGCAACAGAAAAACGCTATCGCTATCTAACGTTTAACCAGTACGAGCAACCTGAACGGTGAATCATTTTGACACACATTCGATTTAAAGAGTATATCAGCAACATATTAACATGTGTCGATTAGTGTAATTTTACTCTGTTATCTTCTTTAGACAATTGACCAGTAAAATAGGTACAACTAGCTGTGCTATATAAATATGTATACACATTATATTTTCCAATCAAAAGTAAAAGATGTAACTTACATGAAAACCCCCCACCACGTAGTTCGTCGTTAGCCTTTTGAAGAATATATACAGTAATGGGTTACACAATGTGCCGATGAAAAACTGTGCGATAATAGCGTTAGGTATCGTAGTTGATACATGTATAAATTAAGAAATGGCCAGATTAAAAGGATGTTTCCATGTTTCAGTCGGATTAGTATGGTTATCTATTTCTCTAACAGTAATAAACGCATTGTTTTGAAACGGCCTTAATCGATATGTGTGTTGGTATATATACATATACATGTACGTACTGTACACACATATAAAACGTTAACAAAGCAGCCTCACCTGTTACCAGTTACCCATTAATTACCATGCAATGGGTACGTTGTTTGTATCAAGGTCCTGTTATGTTTTGATAAATATCAAATCATTGATGAACTAAGCGGCGATCAACTCCATACCATTTATTACGTACGTGTACTTCGTACTAGTACTGTTCCAGACAGCACCTCAAAAAACGCGTTTACAGTATATCATTATTTATAAGCTGCTGTATACAAACATACTGTTTTCCACGTATAATAATGTGATTAGCATATCCCGACAATGATGCCCGGTTATCGCATAAACGATACTTACATCGATATTGATACTATAAAATATTAGATATTTCAATGAAATATATAAAATATAAAAAACAAGAAATGTTTCAGAACATATTGTTTCTTTAAATTATTCTGAATGTGCAATTGCATCACTCAAAACGTGAACTCACAATCGAGCAAACTAGGGCAAAATGTGAATAAAGGAAAAACTTACATCGACGACACCAACTATGTAAACTAGATCTAGGTCAAATCCAAGTAATATCACGTTCTCAAAGAGAGAACAGGAGCACTGATGACGAAGCAACACCGAAATATAATGAGCACAATCAAAACATATACCTTCATATCAACTGAAGAATTATAATAAGATAATAATAACGAACATACAGTTTTCCCATATAATTTCATCCACTTGCATCTCTCAAAATTTTCAGCAGTCGACATTTATCACGCAAATCCCACCTGTAGGTTTGAGGAAAGAAANATTAGATATTTCAATGAAATATATAAAATATAAAAAACAAGAAATGGTTCAGAACATCTTGTTTCTTTAAATTATTCTTGATGTGCAATTGCATCACTCAAAACGTGAACTCACAATCGAGCAAACTAGGGCAAAATGTGAATAAAGGAAATACTTACATCGACGACACCAACTATGTAAACTAGATCTAGGTCAAACCCAAGTAATATCACGTTCTCAAAGAGAGAACAGGAGCACTGATGACGAAGCAACATCGAAATATAATGAGCACAATCAAAACATACACCTTCATATCAACTGAAGAATTATAATAAGATAATAATAACGAACATACAGTTTTCCCATATAATTCATCCACTTGCATCTCTCGAAATTTTCAGCAGTCGACATTTATCACGCAAATCCCACCTGTAGATTTAGGAAAGAAGATGTCGCTGTATGTTGTCGTAAGAGACGACTAATATTGGTCCCTTTGCAGAATCTGGGGTTTTCTTCTGTGTCGTCTTTGAAGAGGACATTCAAGAAAGCAAAATCAATCAGCAGCCTCTTTTGCAATACTTCTTTTCTTTCTACCCTTATCTTCCCTGTCTCCCTCCCTTATATATCTTTAAATGACCATTGCAAGGAGGTTAAACCCCTAACAAACAAATAAATAACTCCTAAATTCCGAATCGACTACGACATGTAAATACCGTTGTTGGAGAAGCATGGTTGTCACTATCAAGAAAAGGAAGTTTCGCGACCGGAAAATCAAAACATTCACGCTTAGTAGTAAGGCACCCCTGTTTGTAAGCATGTTGAAGGTAAAGATCAAGGCAAGCAGAAGATGAAAAGTCTGTAGTGACGTTCATTTTTAGTTTCATGAGGTATATGCGATCGACATGGTCAATACATTGTTCGATTTTTAAAGACAATCCAAATAAAAGACAGTTATTGATAGGAATTTCTAGGATTGATTCTAAACTTAAAATAAATGCCATACTAATTTGACGCATATAAGCGATTTAAAATTTAACTGTATTCGAATTGATTGAAATCATACATAGCCAACATTTTGTTTTACGTAAATTTGATATCATAGTACACGTGTCCACAAATGCTGCCTGTTGTCGTATCAGTGAAGATAAGATAATTTGTAAGTCCACAGCGTACGTGAAGCCAGCCTGATGTCTCCAATATTATATAATATCAAGCAAGCATCGCCTTTATGGGATCACTTGACCCTTCTTACCAAGCCGACATTTGCCACTTGGTCTGTGATCTGCCAATACAGGTAAGACTTCATTAAATATTTTGTCAATTACCGAAGTTTACAATATATATTATAACATGTTGTGTGATGCTTGATTCACAAAGTTCATTAAGGTTATTGTTATATGTAAAAATTTTGTTGCATGTTTANTCTAGGATTGATTCTAAACTTAAAATAAATGCCATACTAATTTGACAAATATAAGCGATTTAAAATTTAATTGTATTCGAATTTATTGAAATCATTCATAGCCAACATTTTGTTTTACGTAAATTTGATATCATAGTACACGTGTCCACAAATGCTGCCTGTTGTCGTATCAGTGAAGATGAGATAATTTATAAGTCCACAGCGTACGTGAAGCCAGCCTGATGTCTCCAATATTATATAATATCAAGCAAGCATCGCCTTTATCGATCACTTGACCCTTCTTACCAAGCCGACATTTGCCACTTGGTCTGTGATCCTTGATACGACCGGATTGGCCAATACAGGTAAGACTTCATTAAATATTTTGTCAATTACCGAAGTTTACAATATATATTATAACATATTGTGTGATGCTTGATTCACAAAGTTCATTAAGGTTACTGTTATATGTAAAAAATTTGTTGCATGTTTATTTACTTTTACACTAACTGATAATACTATCTGCATTGACATAAAGTTATAAATAATGTCGTATGTGCGAAATCCGAAATCTTCTTCTCCAAAACCCATGAACCAATTTCAATGAAATTTTGCAGAAATCTTCCATGGCCAAAGGTCAACAAAAATAGGGGCCTGGTTGGTCTCCCCAGGGGCCTGAGGGGCGGGTCAAAAAGGGTCAAATTGTCTAAAATTTCAAAAATCTTCTTCTCAAGACCCAGATATGGTAGAATCAAATACTCTTCATAGATGGAAGGGTCTTAAGGTGCTTTACCAAAAATGTGAATTTCTTGACGCTGGGGTCTCACGNAAATTTGTTGCATGTTTATTTACTTTTACACTAACTGATAATACTATCTGCATTGACATAAAGTTATAAATAATGTCGTATGTGCGAAATTTAATTAATAGGAAACTTTCTCATTCTTTTTGTGGAAAATCTTTTAAACAGAATATTTTTATGATTGTGATATAATAATAAATCTGTGTAAACCGAAATGATTGAAACTGTAAGTTAGACAAGGTTCCCGTAAAAGGCCGTTCAGATGTACGCATCACGTGCTTTGAAGTCATTACCATAATTTCCTCATTTCTTAACGACTATAATATATCTAATATTTTCATATTTAAGATTATGTATTTTAGAATTTCATGAAATAAAACAAAAAATCCTTAAATGTTCGCCGAACCTCTTCTTTTGCGAGAAAAACAAAATTGATGAATAAAGTATATCTTATTGTTATTATGTTAAACGCGTTCATAATCTGGGAAACACTTACTAGAAATACGAAGTAAAGTCACAAGAATTAAAACACATGTTTTAAGGGTTCTGATATACAAAATACCACGAACAAATTGTAAGTAAAAAGACAGCGACATGGAACCGTTTTTACAACAACTGAACTACATCACCTGACAAGCTTTGATCGAATAAATTAATACATGTAACCATCTGCGACAGGAGATCCAGATGTACGTACACAATTTGTTTATCATATTGACTTATATATTTCTTTTCAGAAATTCGTCGAAAATGACGGTATGTGCGCCAGTTGTGCTGGTGCTAATGGCAGTATGTGCGAGTGTAGCAAATTGTGCGAGTTACAAGACAATACGAACACCATCTGGACCGGTTAAGGGGATAAGCGTACAAAACAGAGACCAATTAGTATATCAGTACCGAAATATTCCTTATGCTAAACCCCCGGTCGGAGATTTGAGACTGCGGAAACCGGTTCCATTTGGTGGCTGGACAAATGTCCTTGATGCAACTTCATTTGGTCCATCTTGCATACAAGATCGAAAGTATGTTTCTGCTACACTTCAAAACAGAGAAATGTCTGAAGACTGCCTCCAGCTGAATGTGTACACACCTTCCAATGCTTCCCCAACAAACAAGAAGAGTGTGATGATTTGGATACACGGAGGAGGCTACGTTGCAGGACAGGCGACCTTATATGACGCCTCCCCTCTCGCTAATATCGGGGATGTTATTGTCGTCACGGTGAATTACCGATTAGGACTGCTAGGTTTTCTCAGTACAATGGACGATTCTTCTCTTGGAAATTACGGCTTATGGGATCAGCTGCTTGCAATTCAATGGGTAAAACAAAACATCGCAGCCTTCGGTGGTGATTCAGACTCGGTAACACTTTTTGGGGAATCAGCTGGCTCTATGAGTGTGGCGTTACATGCGCTTAACCCACAAAATCAAGGCCTGTTCCAACGTGTAATTGGAGAAAGTGGGCCCGCTAATTCTGTTTTAGCATTGAGTTTAGAGGCGAAGAACATTTCTAGAGGGTATGGTATATTTCTAACCTGTATCCATGCGAATGATATCAGCGTCGATTCTGCTGGACTTGTTCAGTGTTTGAGAGAAAAACCTGCTTCAGAAATTCTACGAGCCCAAATGAATCTAGATGTTAAAAAATACACAAAGTATAACATTCCACTCAAAGACGCCCCTGTAGTTGATGGGGATCTTATAAAGTCTTTTCCTGAAGATGTGATGGCCAATATCTCTTCGGCGGGTTCAAATTTTTTCCGGTCTTTGGATGCCATGTTTGGCAATACAGATGCTGAAGGTTCGCTTCTGATCGACCTCGGCATAGAGTCCTTAGAAGCTGAATATAATTTCAATGCTTCACTTTTTATACCAACTCGCATTCTCTGTGATGTGCTTTCGCCGGTATTTTCAAAAGACTTTTTCAATGGAAACAAGGCTGTTGCTGTTGCCATTTGTCAAAGGTACAGAAGCAATAATATCGTTGAGCAGAGCAGAAACGTCATCAACATGTACACTGATGGAGTTATGGTAGCCCCTACTGTCAGCACGCTCAACTGTCATTCATCCCCCGGTCTGACCATGGGCAGAAATACTTATCAGTTCATGTTTACCAAAGTAACAAAGACAATGGACAACCGACCGTCATGGTTTGTTGGGGCGGGACATGGCTTAGAACTGAGGTATCTGTTCAAGTTTGACGGTGCTACAAACAATGTGGATCGGTTACTCTCTTTGATCATGACGACGTATTGGACCAACTTTGCTAAGAACGGGTATGTGTTGGTTCATTATTTCCCTTTCCACTTTAACGTATCATATTGTTAATATAACTTTCACATAACCTTGTTTTTCTTGCAGCAGTTCAATGAGGAATTCCAGTGGGAATCTAAAACACGATATTACTTTGAACATCAAATAACAATCAAGAAAATGATAAAACATAGAAGGGGGTTGCGGTGGCCGAGTTCACTAGCGCTCTGCGACTGGATCGCGGGTTAAAGGCCTACTTAGAGCAATCTCCAACTATTACCGCAGGTCGGTGATTTTTCTCCCGGTACTCAGGATTTCCCTCACCATCAAAACCTGGCACGTACTTAAATGACCATAATTCTTAATAAGACGAAAACCACAAAAAATTCAACCATAGAAAAATGCAAATATCACTGTATGATGACGATGCATAGTTCGATAAAACTACCAAAATATTTGCCTGTTTAAATATCTTGGTTATTTCAAGTCGTAAGCGGCCCGAAATACTGAAAGGGTTTTATCTGTTAACTGTTTCTCCACTTCTGGTTCTTCCCCATGCATGAAAACCTTATTGTAAATTGAGGCCGCATACTATGTACAAAAATAAAAAAATAAACCCCTATCAATATTTTTTACCAGTGCAGTATATATAATTAACCATGGAAAACCCCGTGAAAATATCACTTTTAGAATTGTTCAATCAGAACTGTACTTTCCATTCAATGCATACAATGTACATTTTGCAGTTTTAAGATGATTACCAAATTGCGGATACTTAAACGTTCAATGAAAAAGTTACATTATTGGTACATTGGGACACTTATTCAGTGGCAACAGTCAACATGTGATGAAGAATAAATGAAAGTATACGGGATCCGTTCCGTTCTAGGTTTGGACACTTATCTGACATCTCTCACTAAGCGATTTTCATGAAAGATTTTGTACCCTTGCAGCTTTGCTGTATTTTCCTTTTTCTTATTAACTTGGTTCAGATTTACACGTGCTTGTTTAAACACAGTCTAGGTATGATCAAGATCTATTTCTGAGCAACTTGACAATCCGTAATTACTTTCTGTCTCAGTTTGGTCCACGAAACATTTCATTAATCAGCAATTTTGCAATCGATTAGTAGGCAAAGTATTATGTATATTCTGAGCTAATATTCCTGGGTCAATCTTGAATAGAAAATATGATTTTTCTATAATCCGTCTGTAAATGTTTGAAATCCAAATTAAAACTTACATTTGATTTTATTTGAAATAACGATTCAATCATTTCATCCAACAGTTCCCCGAATGGTCCCGGTCTTCCCTATTGGCCTAGATACGACCCAATAGGCGGGCTCTATCAACGCCTGGACAGCAACATTTCACCAGAATATCACGTGACGCTGGATAGGGTTCAGTTCTGGAACCAGTACCTTCCATCACTGGTGAAGAATACTCCAAATGTCGTTGTAGGATAATCACGTTGTACGAGTTATTGTAATGATTTTGTGATGTTTGCATTTTGGAAATAAAGTTTGTGTTTACCAACTTTTCTGTGATTACTCAGATTTGTATAACTAACTTGTTACATTTAGTCATTGGCAATACATTTGTTATAGCTTAAACCTCATCTTTAACATCTTTATTATGTATATAAAATAGTAATATTCAATGCCCCGTCAAGTATAAACGCTAATTTGCTGAAAGGAAGATAACTTGGGTCATGATTAATTCATATATATTCCAATTAACTAATTATTCAATTAATCCAATGCATGTTTTTTTTTTATAGGAACTGTAAAATTCCTATTAAACGGAAGGTACGGATTCTTTTGATTTAGATATTTGAAAGACCTTCCTGTTTCGTTAGCAAAATATTGGTGTGAATTAATTATAAAAGGATCATTTTAATAAATCAATATTTGCTACCGTGTATATATTTTGGGTCGGATATAATGAAAACTTCGGGTATATCTACATGTTACTATTATGGTGCTGCTGCCTTCCACAGTTTGACTTTGGAATAATTCGAAACGTTAATCATAACTGAATTGAAAGTCTGCCACATACATTATGTATGTTACATACCTTAATCAACCATCACAGAACTTTTATGATAATTATCAATGGGTGATTAAAGAAATCATAGAATATAGACGTCAATCAACTTCTCCTCTGAATGTAATGATTAAAACTTCAAAGTACAACAAGTGGTAGGGCAAAGTGCTCAAAATGCGCAAAAAAGGGAATGCTGTGGATGTGGGATGGTACAAAAGGTAGTAAGCTTCTGATAATTCTAGCCCGAACTTTGATCGAATCAGTCTTAGGTGCTGATATAAAGAATTGACACTCAAAAGATGCTGACAAACCATTGGGTTTGGGGGCGGACTATAAGATGGATTTTAATAAACTCTTCATGAAATGATCGCTTGACGACGAGGACCATAATTTATACATAAGAGGAGGACTACACTTTACCTTGTTGGCCAAAAGTGCCACTGATCATTTACAGCAAAACATTCCAATCCAAGTGCTTAGAACACGTAACATAAGGAACAACTATGTGATGTTATTACGTAATGCATTAATAGGGTGGTCATATGGTAAATAACAGAATTCTATTGAAATCGCTCAATATTGCAAAATCGTCATACATACTGTCGATTCCAATTCATTACCTTTAGGGCCATATAGATGACGTATCGAAAGTCGAAAGGTTTTCAGAATGACTGCCTTGTTTCGGTTATACCTCCATTTGCACAGAACAACAAAACAAAAAATTAACGAATAGCCTGATAACAAAATCTTATTGTTTCAATGTTCACCAGTTAGCATTTTGTATTGTGATCAAAAGAACGAATCAAAGGATAATGTTATACATAGAATTATGTTGCACTGCCATATAGAAATAGGTTACACTTCTTTATAGAAATAGGTTACACTACTTTATAGAAATATCTTAACTACTATATAGAAATAGGTTGCATTACCATATAGAAATATGTTACACTTAAGGATGTACACCTATGAGAAGTCAAACATTTCCTGTATTAAACTTTTGNTAGAATCAAACACTCTTCATAGATGGAAGGGTCTTAAGGTTTATGAGTCTCAAGTTTACCCCCTAGGGAAGGAGGGGGGGGGGGGGCAAAAATTATTATGGTTTATAATGGAAAATGATACTTTGAATATTACTTGTTAATAACTTGATTTGAATTATAACCCTGAGTTGACAGTTTGATACTTTGAAAAGTTTGAGCCAGCCCTAGCCCCAAGGGCTGTAGGGTAGGGCCCAAAGGTGTCTCTGTGCTAAAATATCTTCATTTTCCTTGTTTAGAATCAGAGGTGCTAGTTTCAAATACTTTTTAGTCTTAAATCTGTATGCTAGATATTGAATAAGATGGTTTTATTGTTTTTTTTTTGTCACTTTGAATACTATTTTTGTTCATGTTAAAAACAAAATCAACTCTCTGTATAAATACATCAGGTGACCGTTAAGGCCCACAGGCCTCTTGTTCAGGAAACTATTTACCAGGTAATGGTCATTAGAGCTATTTACCCGGAATGAGCTTTTTAACATGCATTCAAATTTTGGCAGGATTTTTAGCTTCGTTCATTCTGATTGGACATTGCATTTGTCGTGTTCCTTCGGAACATCTCTACTTCCATCACATACACTGCGATAAATTCCGTAAGCGTTTCCGAGACCCAGACGAAGCAGACGTACTTAGTTTCATTGAGACAAATTTTGCTTTATTATATGCATCTTTACAAAAGAAATGGATTTTTCTTGTTGGTATTATAACACAGTTATTTTATGGGTATTTCGGGAAAAGGCACTTTTATTGTCCCCCTTGACATTTACTATTTCCCTTGGCTTCGCCTCGGGAAATAGTCAATGTCTTTGGGGACAATAAAAGTGATATTTCCCTCACACCCATATAATAACACTACCATAAAGGATCGCATTACACTACCATATAGGATAATGTTACACTTTCATAAAGGAATATGTTACACTACCATATAGAAAGACTGGTACACTACCATATAAGACTGGTACATTACCATATTTGGACTTCTAGAATATCTAAATCTACGAGTCTTTTTCACATTTCCTTATTAAAACTATTTTACAGTATCAGTTTGGGATTATTTGACACTACCTTATAGGGAGCATGTTAAAAAATGGGTCATTCTGCGTGTTTATCTGTAGTTTAAAATGATTATGTCACAATACATATAATGATAAGATATATATAGATGAGGTCAAATATTCCAAACGGCTTTAATGGTCATGCCTTATCTGTTTATTAAGATTACTCATCCATCGGTCAGGTACCTAGTTAACAACAGGCGTCGATCAAGGTAGGTGTTGTTTGTATTTCATCTCAATACTTTGGAAAGTAATGCTTATTTCTTATCTATAAAACGTTTATTGATAAAATAAAAACATATTACAACGTCAACAATATTAACTTGAAGTGAAGGCTCTATTAGTGACATCTGTATTGATTTCGTCATGAAATAATCCACGGGCGCAGGGAACGTTAGAGAACTTTACCCCTGGAATTTCGAGGATGCATTCATCTAGAAAATTGTATAAATTCAGAAAGTTAAAGAAGAATCAGACAACCTGTAAAATAAATCAACAGAAATAACACGATATGTCGTAGGGAAGTTATCTATATCCACACATATATTTGAAAGAACACTTTTGCTTTCGAAACCAATCAGTTAGTTTTGTAACCTCGCCAGAATATATAACGTATCATCATAAACCATTCTCCGACTTTGTGCCCTTAGGTGGGCCTACACGCCTAATAAATTTCAGCTAGTAACTTGTATTCATTTTTCAGTTAAATTATTTGTTTTCTTTACAAATAATAAATTTCAATTATCTTTTCTGGTTTATATCAAACCCGACTTGTTCAATAAATAATCTGAAGGAAGATGAAATTTGTTTTTTTTAAAAATACATATATCTACCAAATTCAATTTTATTTAAAATGATATATAAGCATGAAGTACAACAACTAATTGCTTGAATTGTTTGTGAATACACAGTTCAATGAAACAGTTGCACCATTAATGATGATGATAAATAACACGTTTTCAAATCCCCTTAAAAAGTGGTTAATATCATTGATTGCAAGGCACATATTTACAAAAAACTGTTTTCATACGATTTTTTATAAGAAATACAAGCTTATTTTATGGATCGTATTTGACGTCAATTATTTCTAATATTTTGTGAGAAATGTTATTTCTGTTTTATCGTTATATAACCTTACACTATTCACATGTTTAGATTTTACATTACATTTGTTGTTATTCTCCTCAATAGAGGTATTTATATTGTCTCGTACACAAAGCATATTATTAATCTAATACTGATTTGGACTAAGTATTCTTTTTACTTCAAACAAAACACCAAATAGATGTACATATCAGTATGGAACTGTATTTCAAATCACAAATGCAGCTCAATCAGGGTTTTTTCATGAATAAAATTTGAACAAATTATCTAACCGCATAAATGCACTTTATCGATTTCGTTGTCAGTTTAAAGTCATAAGTCGTGAATGTTGGTATTTATGAGCGCCTACGTGACCGTTACTTTGCAGCGTAATTCAGTTTTGGCTTACTGTATTTATTACAAATGTTTAAGGCGTAGTAGCCTGTGTATGTGTTCCGTTCATATTGCGTGATAGCTTTAACCCGAGATACATAACTAAGAAAACAGAGACACAATTCGATAAGCAATTTGCAAATCAAATATCAAAGTCACAATGGATTGTTATTTCAGTTGGCAGTATGGTTTGGTACCCTATAGTTCTGCTGTTTGTTGCATCCTGTTTCTCTGCGGTCAACAGTCAGAGTTACCGAACAATTGATTCAGCGTCGGGACCTATTCGTGGGATTGGTGTACAGAATCGGGGCAAGATGATGTACCAGTACCGTAAAATCCCCTATGCTAAACCTCCTGTCGGAGATCTGAGACTGCGTAAACCGGTTCCATTCGGCAGATGGACAAATGTTTTAGATGGTTCTTCTTTTGGACCGTCCTGCTATCAGCGGACGGAATATATCTTTCCTTCTTTACCGAATTCAGAAATGTCCGAGGACTGTCTGCATTTAAACGTTTATACACCAAGCAACGCCTCTCTAAACAACACTAAAAGTGTTATGATCTGGATCCACGGTGGAGGGTATACCTTAGGCCAGTCGTTTGGCTATGATGCCTCTAACCTTGTTACTGTAGGGGATGTCGTGGTGGTGACCGTAAACTACCGATTAGGAATATTAGGATTCCTCAGTACAATGGATAACGCCTCGCGTGGTAACTACGGGCTGTGGGATCAAAGACTAGCAATGCAGTGGGTAAAGAACAACATAAGGGCATTTGGTGGTGACCCAAGCTATATAACAATTTTTGGTGAATCTGCCGGAGGGTTTAGTGTCGGAATACATGCTCTTATTGCAGAAAATCAAGGTCTATTCCAACGGGTCATCGCTGAGAGTGGTACAGGAAATGTGCCTTTTGCATTAAGTGTAGAGTCCCCAAAATATGCCAGAGGGTACGGTATCTATCTCAATTGTCTTAATGAAAACGACATAACGTTTGATACTGAAAAGTTAATTGAATGCTTCAGACGGAAAAATGCAAAAGAAATTATGCAAGCTCAAATTAACACTGACGTTTTTAAGTACGGAAACTATATACTTAACAGTCCAACTGCCCCTGTAGTCGATGGAGAACTGATCAAGCAACATCCCAGTGCTATGATAGCTAATTCCTCGTCGATTGAATCCAGTTTCTTTCGTTCTCTCGATGTCATAATTGGCAATACGGATTCTGAAGGATCCCTTATATACGACGAATTTATGATTTCCCTCGAAAAACAATATCATTTTAATTATTCTCGCGCCGTTCCGACGGCAGTGCTTTGTAATGCATACGCACGAGAGATCGCAAAGGATTTCTATAACAGGAATAGTGACGTTTCCGACGCTATATGTAAGCAATACAGCAGAACTGATGAAATTGAGCAGAGTAGAAGTATCGTTGAAATGTACACGGATGTCTTTATGGTTGCTCCAGCTGTCAAAGCTTTAGACTGTCACTCACTCCCTGGACTGACTATGGGAAGAAACACCTACCAGTATATGTTTACCAGAGAATATCCCGATACATCATTCCCGGAGCCAAGTTGGTTCAAAGGGGCTTGGCATGCCGCCGAGATTCCATATATTTTTGGACCAAGACTTCCATGGCCAGTATCGAAACCCGATTCTCAGGCTGATGCAATGCTGACGGTTAATATGATCAAATATTGGACGAATTTTGCAAAGAGAGGGTGGGTATTCTTGTTTGTCTATTTTTGTTTGTTTTTGTTTCACAGAATAATTTAAGAACTACTTACCTTTTTGATTTGAAACATAAAAGAGGTTCCAAATTTATTCACGAGTCATATTTTTGTATTGGATAAATGAGCGAAATAATGCGAAAAAGTAAGCAAATCTAGAACAATTATTCAACTGATGTGTCTACAGAAATTAATTTTGAGTACTTTTTTGAATTAGTCATAATTTTCCATGTTAAAATATGTACTTATTCTTGATTAAAATTGTTCAACGAGACATTTTATCATCATAATTTATTATTAAGTCAATTAATAATGCTAATTTACTTCTCAAATGGTTTCCAGTCAAAATGAATTATTTGAAATATGGTAACAAATTTAAGATTCAAAAATTGATTATTATCCGTGAGTTCGGAATAATTAGATATAAAAAGAATTATTTTAGAATTTTAGAAGGGAGATAATTTTAATCCGGAGCACTGGAAGAATTTGAAAGGTTGCATAGGATTTTTCTATCTTATATTTTATTCTCATCTACACGTGCTCTTCTTCAAGATGGATCTTTTTCTGTATTTCCTTATAACTATGCATGTATTTGCTTTCTTCTCCCTTTATTTGTCCAGCTCGCCGAACGGTCCAGGAGTGCCCTACTGGCCTAGGTATGACTCAGTTGGAAGGTTATATCAAAACTTGAACATCAACATAGCACCAGCATATAATGTTAACCCAGAGAGGATTCGATTTTGGAACCATTATCTTCCCACTTTGGTCAGAAAAACAGCCAATAGTAACATGGTTGTTGGATAGGTCAATTTGTTTGTATATTCATTCGGAATAAATTTATTTTATGGCAGAAAAAATGTTTTTCATGTTTTTTGTTGTTTAATAAAATACATTTGGTATGTGGCACGTAGTCATTGCAAATAAAATATAAAAGCGAAAAGTTGACAATCCGCAACTACTGTTTATTGGGTAAGATAAATGTTACAACAGACAAAACATTTAAGTACAAAATATATTCAAAGTCAATTATTTATCACTACAAAAAAAGGAAGCAGTGCTTCATGGATAAAAGTCTCCTCACTTAACAGAAATGTTTCATTAAAAAATGTCATCTGACCCATTCTTCGTATTTCGAGTGATTATTGCAGGCAACAAGATGATCGACTATCGTCCTCGAGGTTGGCCGTGGCCTTGAATTGGTAGCTCGAAGTTATTCTAACAGTGTTTACATGAAATTCTAGTCTAAGTTTATATAGGTTTGGTTGTCGAATGTTTAGATTTAAAACGCTAAAATGGGTTTGATTTTATTGGTACCTTTTCTTTTCGCTATATTGTACATGATTGAGGAATTCTGATGGACGAGGTGGTCATATTATGGTGCGGTAAATTCTTTACTTTCTTTTACTTTCTGTGTCCAAACAGGTGTTTCCTTTTTCTCTAGTGATAATTATGCAAGAGTTCTTACACGCATATGACTTTTAAGGGATTAGAAATAGTGCAAGTTACAATAGTCTATCGTTACTAACAATACGTTTGTACTATTCACAGTTAGTCTAACGTTGTAATGTTAAAATTAAACATTAAACAGAAATTATCGTTTAAAATTTGATAAAAAGAAACCCGGATATTTTTAATATTTGAATGTGTATCTCGGTTTTGATTTAGACTTCTCAGCAATAATTTGTTTTTCTTGCATGTAATAGATTCAAATTATATGATACGATGCTATTTCTTTCGCACAATGATTAAAATGACCAATACAAATATAATCATTAAAATGGATAAAAATGAAAGAAAGTCACACAAGAAGATTACAAAATATTGAAATGAAGGTTACTGATTGCATTGCTCATGTTGTCTTCAACACAAATCCACTGAACCACAATAACATGCACACCACAATGTTATGGGAGGATATACTTGAAACAGCTTGTCAACATGTTGGTATGCTTTTTTTACTGCTGTTACAAGTATCCTCAACAAGAATTCTAGTATATCTAGGGGAGGGTTTTGTCATTTGAGATGATTATGGGTTACTTTCACTGCCTGTTTGTCCTGTCTATGTTTATGTNTTGGAAAAAGGAGTTAATGGCATAGTAGAAAATGCAAAAAAAATTATATGTTCCGTGTGTTCGTTTTTGTGCTATGATCGGTCAAAGATACCAATTTAACACAACATGTGATTTTAGGTGATTTTTTGGGTTTTGACCATTTGCAGAACAAAATCATTCAAAAAAGTGTATTATCAGATATGTATGAATGTTTGTAGAATTGATGAAAATATTATTTTCTTTGAAATTGTGGAAGTAAAATTTCTATTTTTTTTTTAAGTCAGAAAGCCGACTTTAGTTACCCCTACCCCCTATTTTTTGATGAGAAAATACTCATTTTTTTACTATTTTTGATTAAACGCTTGATATAAAAAGTTCTGGTATTAAACTTTTTCTAATATTTAATAAATTAAATGAAAATGTGTTTCTCTTTCTAAAACATCTACAAAAATGGGGGGTCAGTGTGCTTCTTTTTTTGTCCCATTATCATTTGTGTAATTTTTTACCTTTTTCGGGGTCAAGAAATCAAAAGTGCTTCAGTTTCACTAAATACGTAAAAAAATATCAATAATGTATAATTTTCCGGTTTGTTGCATAATATTTTATCATATTGAACATCATAAAGTTGTACAGCAAAATTAAACCTGCTACAATTAAAAATGGCGACACAATGACAATTTAAGTGATCAATCTACCGTCAAAAAAGGTGAAATTTTGGTCTTTTTTGAAGCGCAAGAAATACACATTAATACACATTTTCAAAATGGCCGCCGAATAGGTATTTGTTTTAAATTCTTGTAAAAAAAAGTTCTACAAACAACAGGCATCTATTTTTTTGACATATTTTTCAGATGTGTGTTTGCTAATAAACTTGATCATAATTTGTTTAATATTACAAAAACCCATTACACCAGATCAAAACGAGACTTGAACGTGATTGAAACCTTAGAAGAGTACATCCTTAAGGATTGAAACTTGCTTCGCAGTTCATGTTGAATTTGTTTAAACACTTAACTCAATTCATCACCCCATGAAATCGACTAAAGCAATATTCAAACCTTATATTTCAATTAACGTTGTTTTTTTTAATAATTGAAACCTGTGAAGTCAAGTCTGATAATTTGTTCCAAGTTCTGGAGCTTGTGCAAGTCTACGTATTAATGTTATGTAAAACATATAGTCCGTCATTGAAAGACCATCATGTAACATGAAGGTGTACGTTGATAGTTCAATACAGCCAAATTATGAAGAAATAAATTACAAAACCATATTTAACACTATAATTACACTACCATATAGGAATAGGTAACACTACCATTAAACTACAAATTAGAAATAAGTAAACAAGGATATAGGAATATGCTACACTAGCATATAGAAACATTGTAGTTTACCATATAAGGATGTATTACATTATTATACANCCTGTATATACTGATGCTATCCCCAACATGTAATTTAGTATATATGTGAGAGGTAGTTGTGCTGGGATGTGGAACTGGGTTACTTCCTTTGTGTGTTTGTCCTGTCTATGTTAATGCTATCCCCAACATGTAATTAAGAATATATGCGAGAGGTAATTGTGCTGGGATGTGGTACTGGATTACTTCCTTTATGTGTTTGTTCTGTATATACTGATGCTATCCCCAACATGTAATTTAGTATATATGACAAAATTAATTGTGCTGGGATGTGGTACTGGGCNGTCGTGCGTCCGTTAAAAATTTACATTTTCGACTTTTTCTCCAAAACCCCTGAACCAATTTCAATGAAACTTTTGCAGAAACCTTCCATGGCCAAAGGTCAACAAAAATAGCTGCCGGTTTGGTCCCCGGCCCCCAGGGGCCTGAGGGGCGGACCAAAAAGGGTCACATTGACTAAAATTTCAAAAATCTTCTTCTCCAAAACCCATAAACCATTTTCAATGAAATTTTGCAGGAATCTTCCATGGCCAAAGGTCAACAAAAATAGTGGCCTGGTTGGTCTCCAGCCCCCAGGGGCCTGAGGGGCGGGTCAAAAAGGGTCAAATTGACTAAAATTTCAAAAATCTTCTTCTCAAGACCCAGATATGGTAGAATCAAATACTCTTCATAGATGGAAGGGTCTTAAGGTGCTTTATCAAAAATGTGAATTTCTTGTCCTGGGGACTCACGTTACCCCTGGT